TGGTTGGTTGGCTGGTTGGGGTGGTGCCCGGGTTGTGTTGTTGGCGTTGTTGGGGTTGTTGGTTTTGTTGGTGTTGTTGGGTGTGGTGTGCTGTGGGGGTGGGGTTGTTGGGCGGTTTGTGTGGTGTTGGGGTTGTCTGTAGAGGTGTTGTCGGTTGTTGTGGTTGGTTGTTGTTGTGTTGTTGGGTGTTGGTTTGGTGGTGTTGGGTTGTTGTTGGTTGTTGGTTGTTGGTTGTTGGTTGTTGGTTGTTGTTGTGGTTGTTGTTGTTGTTGTTGTTGTTGTGGTTGTTGTTGGCTGTTGTTGTGGTTGTTGTTGGTTGTTGTTGTTGTTGTTGTTGTGGTTGTTGTTGTTGTTGTTGTTGTTGTTGTTTGTTGTTGTTGTTGTTGTGGTTGTTGTTGGTTGTTGGTTGTTGGTTGTTGGTTGTTGTTGTGGTTGTTGTTGGTTGTTGGTTGTTGTTGTTGTTGGTTGTTGTTGGTTGTTGTTGGTTGTTGTTGGTTGTTGGTGGTTGTTGTTGGTTGTTGTTGGTTGTTGTTGGTTGTTGTTGGTTGTTGTTGTTGTTGTTGGTTGTTGTTGTGGTTGTTGTTGTTGTTGGTTGTTGTTGTTGTTGTTGTTGTTGTTGTTGTTGGTTGTGGTTGTTGTTGTTGTGGTTGTTGTGGTTGTTATTGTTAGCTGTGTGCTTTTTTGTGGTGTGACCTTGCACTGACTGGCCTGTACCACTTGTCAGTCCTGATCTTTGGCTCACAGGGCTCAAAAGCAATTTGCTCACAGGGCTTAACCACTTGATAACTTCAAACTCTTTTACCTATCCCAGACTACCTCGAATGTTTCAAAAAACTTCATGTTTTTTTTGAGATAGCATGTTGTTTCTGACTTTGGGGGACTCAGAGAAATACCCAAGCTCTTATATAGATTTTCCTTTAGAAAAGAACGAAACAAACTGATCTAGACCCTATTGATCTAGGGCTGGCCTTAGCTTCCCTCAATAAGGGTTGTGTGGAAGAGTTGTGTGTGAGCAAGTTGTGTGTGAGCAAGTTGTGTGTGTGTGAGAGGGTTGCGTGTGCGAGAAGAGAGAGAAAGAGAGAGAGAGAGAGAAAGGGAGGGAGAGGGAGAGGGAGAGGGAGAGGGAGAGGGAGAGGGAGAGGGAGAAGGAGAGAGGGAGTGAATTCTGTGTGTGTGTGGGTAAGTTGTGTGTGAGTAAGTTGTGTGTGCGTGTGCGTGAGGGTTGTTTGTGAGTAAGTTGTGTATGAGAGAGTTGTGTGTGAGAGAATTGTGTGTCAGGGTGTTGCGTGTGAGGGAGTTGTGGGTGAGGGAGGTGTGTGTGAGAGAGTTGCGTGTGAGAGAGTTGTCTGTGAGCAAGTTGTGTGTCAGAGAGTTGTGTGTGAGTGAGTTGTGTGTGTGTGAGAGAGCTGTGTGTGACAGAGCTGTGTGTGAGGGAGTTCTGGGTGAGTAAGTTGTGTGTGTAATTTTTGTTTGGGAGAATTAGCACTCGGCTCAAGACCTTTCAGCTGGTTGTGCTATCCAGCTGACGCTTGGGCGTTGACTCCCGGTATTGCGCTCGGTGGGGCGACATGGATCTGCCACTTGCGCCTCGCATGGATGGCACCTTCTGGTCTGGCCTGCTCTTAGCAGGCAACAATTCGAAAGGGCATGGCCCTGCAGCTGGCATTGCGCTGGCACATGGACAGCGAGTCCACTATCATCTCAACCTGGAGCCGAACACCAAGGTGATGATCTATCAGGCCAAGCTTGGATGGAAGGATGGCCCTGTCCTGGACTATGGCGACGACACCAAGCACGTCCAGATCCCCTCTGATGAGGACATCCAATGGAATGTGGTGAAGGAGGTTTGCTCAGGAATGGGCTGCATGGGACTAGCAGCTCGCTTTCTGGGTCTTCACTCCGCAGCGGCCATGGATTGGAACCCCAAGATTGTCGAGCACCTCCGAGATAATCACCATGAAGGAGCACTTGTGGGCAACGTGAATCTCATTGAGGACAGGTACAGGTTGCATATGATGGGGGGCCCTACAAGGTGCACTTTGCTGTGCGGATTCCCGTGCCAGCCTCTCTCATCACAGGGAGATCTTCGCGGTGACAAAGTGATAGAGCACAGCCTTTTTTCAACACCCTCCGAGTGGCCTGGGAACAGCAAATGGGGGCAGTGATTCTTGAATGCGTACCGCTGGCACTTGAAGCCCCGTACATTCAAGAAGCCTTGCAGAGGTTTGCCTGGAGTATGAACATGACGGTGAACCAGAGGGTGCTACACCTGAACAACTGCTGGCCATGCTCTCGGACTCGCTGGTGGAGCTTGATCACTTTCAGGCCATATCAAATTGGAGGGATTCCTGATCTTCCACGCACTGAACCATTGCCTGTGGTAGGCGATTTGCTTTCGGAATGGCCTTGCTGGCCGGAGAAGATCGAAGCACAAGTCCGCCTCACGGCAGATGAGTACAGGCTCTACACGGATCCTCATTTCGGAACGGACCTTCGACAGCTTCGTTCCGATCGAGCATGTCCGTGCATACTCCATTCCTACGGCTCAATTTTGGAGGCCTGTCCATGCGGATGCCGATCCCATCCATTGTCCCCACATCGTTTGGAACGAGACGGTGCCAGAGGATTTTTCGTTCAGAGCTCGCAGAACCTGGAGATGAGGTACCTGACAGCACATGAAGCTGCCATGATGTTGACGGTGCCGTCCAACATCACATATGCCACAGAAAAGCTTGGCCTTGCCCTCCTTGGCCAGTGCGCTGCACCGGCACAAGCTTTGTGGATCATTGCACATCTCCTCAGAGGCCTTGGATGTCCTGTGGAACCCGAATTTCTCCTGCGACAGTGGCTTCAGGGTGTACTCAGATCTTTTTCTTCGACAGTGAGGTTTCCAAGGGCATCACCCTTTGCGGAGTTGGCCATCTGGGAGAATGACAACATGACGAAGTATAACATCCGTTTGGGAGGCGAAGCCACCATTCAAAATTTGGTGGATGCCGAACGCAGACTTGCTGGTCATGGAGCATCCACACTACATTATGCTGCCATTTCCGGGGAGTACGTAGTGGTGCACAAGATCAAGAAACAGCATCGGGACATCACGCACCAGACCATTCAGGTTTCTGTCTGGAACAATGGGACAGCTCAGGTCTTTAAAGCAGTGGCGGGAACACTACTCTTTGAGTTCTTCCTGGGCTTGGGCATCGAAATCTTACCAGGATCTATGATTGATGACCAAGGAGGCATTTGGCATGGAGATGACCGACCTCTGCACGATGTCAACATCATGGAGTTCAAGTACCGAGCTTGTGGCCCGGACTCCTTGGTTGGGTTGCTGGGACCTTTTGGGCTTTCAGACACATGTCTCGATCAAGTCGCACGCAAACTGCTGCGGGGGATGGGAACTATTGGAGTCCACTGGATGCCTGCTGCGATGGCCACCCAATGGAGTGAGCACAACTTTGACTGCCGACAATTCGATCATTGGCTTCTCTCTGCTTTGCATGGTCACCTGATTTGCTGCTGTGCAATTGATTCGCACTGGATCTTGGTGGACATCAACTTCAAAGACCAGATTCTGCACATTCAAATCATGGATGGGACCACCAGAGCTCATCATTGGGTTCCGGACATGGCCACCAACGTCAAGAGGATTCTCGCAGTTCGAACTTGCTGCATCCATAGAAGCATGATCTATGAGCAGAAGTATGACTTCACATGTGGCACAGTTGCACTTCTACATCTTGGCACTGCCAATTGCTCATGAGCTTTCCTGACCCATGGATTCTTCGAGCAGGAGCCCTTGGTGACTTGTCCCAAGAGGAGAAGGAAACAGTATGGGGGCTACGAGAAGTCCTGCAACAACGAGGAGTTCCCGAACATCTCACGGAAGAAAGGGCACCGATGGGACTCAGCAAAATTGGCCTGAACAAGCTCAAAGGAGCGCTGGACGCCAAAGATGTGTGGAGTCAGCTCAAAGCGCTTGGCTCTGCCCCCAAGATCAATTTTCTATGGATCAAGCCCGCGGAGCTGGAGGAGCAGATCAAGAAAAGAGCGCAAAGCAAGTTCAAAGTGAATCCTTCGAACAAGAAGTCCTCCAAGAGCAAAAGCTCAGGTAGCCGACCGGTGATTGTCGACCCGGTGGACCTGCAACTCATCGAAGGAACCTTTGTGGCAGGAGATGAAGTTCCAATGGGCCAACTGCAGATCGCAGACGTTGGAGCCAACCGTTGTGGACTGGCATTTGGGCAACTCAGTGACGTGCAGCCGTATCTTCAGGGAACGGAATCTTTGACACTTGGAGGGTTGGGGATCCTTACAACCACCCCGATTCCAGTTGCTGCACAAGGTCTTTTACCAGTCACCAATCTGCGCTTTCCGGCCATTGTCAAGCCCACAGGTGAAGCCATCCTGGTGGAGGGATCACTCATTCAGCTGGGAGACCAAACAATTCATCGAGTGGAGAATCCCAATATGATCCAAATTGATGAGCTGCACACGACAGTCTTGAAGGTCGTGGTCTACCGAGATGAGTGGCCACACAGCTGGGATACCTTCACATCATCCCCGGTGAAGGCCATTCTTCATCAATTCCCGGCCTTTGTACTTTGCAAAGGAATCAACTGTGGCGATGGCTGCAAGAAGTTTCATCCTCCGGTGGATGCAGAGTTGGGCTCGGTCATTGCGGATGTTTGGAACAGGTTCTGGCTCTCCTTGAGGGGGAAGAGAATGTCAGCGGCTGAGGCGGACATCTTTCAGGTGTACTTCCGCATACCGCAGGTGTGCCTATCCACATTGCACTGGCTTTCGGGAAATGCAGGTCTCTATGTTGAGCCCAGATCTTCAGACGGACGCTCCTCTGACCCATCCATGGCAGTGATTTGGTTGCCTGGATCGAACCTCTCAGAGGCCACCCACAAGCAGAAAACCATTGAGAAGACGCTGCCAGTCACCAGATTTGGGAGCAAGTATGGAGTGCGCGTCCTGGTGAAGGATGAGGCCCAGATCCGTGCCAAGATGGGTGCTGAGGAATCCCAACCGAGGATTTTGGTTCAGCAAATCTATGAGATGAAACCACTCCCACATGGGACAACGCGCAAGAGCCTCACTCAGATTCCCCCTGGATTGGGGTGGGCTGCAAAACCGGTTCAACCTGGTCGAGCAGACGCCACCGGCATGAGCTGGAAAGTGGGGGCGGAAGCACCTCCACCTGCACCGGTCATCCAGACATCCTTGGGGGACATCACCATTTCACTCCAGAAGCTGGTCATCACGGACTCCCCTATTCAACGAGTCTTTGGATCCACCTGGACACAGGCCCATCTTCGCAGAATGGCTCACAAAGAGGAGAACAAGGAGAACATCAAACCACAGCAGGTGTCGGAAGCTGGCAGTGATCCATGGACTCACACTGATCCCTGGAGGAAGTGGAACCATCGCCCTGGACCTCAAGACGGAGATGTCCCAACGCAGGTAGTCACAAAGCTGGATTCCATTGAGGAGAAACTCCGAGGAGAAATCTGACAGCAGGTTTGCAAAGCTGGAGGTGGACTTAGCAGAGATGCGCCATCAGCAAGGCAAGTTTGAATCTTGGTGTCATGAAGCTAGCCAAGCGCAGCAGCACATGCAAGCGCAGCTTGGACAATTGGCAGCCACCGTTTCAGAGCACTCATCCGAGCTTTCTGACATGGGGAAGGAAATCAAGTCAGGCTTTCAGAACATTGAGGCTCTGTTGGTGAAGAGGAGTCGAACAGAATGACAAACCGACTCCGGGCCTCGAGTACTTGGGCTCGAGGTGCCGGGCCAACATGTTCCAAGCACCATCAGTTCCAGCAGTTTTGGCACTGCAATCTTTCGTAGATGGATGAGCATTTGGGTCTTTTTGTGCTGCATGCTCCTTCCCGCCTCGGCGAATCCAGTACATGCGCACTCAGTTCCTGATCGGCATTTTTCTCCGCGCTGGCCTGGCCCCAAGGGGTAATATATCTCCAGGAAGATGAGGTTTGCTTCCCAGAGATCGTTCCAGTGATGAAGCTCTCATGGACAGAGGAGTGTCTTCAACAAATGCGGGCCATAGCCACAGCTACGGAGTTTGCCGACCCGGCCATTGCGGAAATGGACACGGTGGACAACATTGCCATCTTGACCAACTTTCCAGGAGACAGACATTGGCGATTCTACAGACCAGATCCACATGGTCTGGGTCGCATTCGATCCATGGATCTGCAGGTCACAACACAAATGACCTTGTCAGATGTGTTGCGAAGAATTGAAGAACACTGGCCAGACTTGGTTGGTGGCATTCCTGGGCGGGAGCTGATTGAAGCATCACCCACCATTGGCAGTTCTTTCCAAGTTTGGGAGGAGATGGAAATCTTTCTCATCAAAGCTGGCGCAGATCACCGGGCAGAAGATGGAGAACTTGTAGTCTTGGTTGAAACGCAGACGTGGCTCATCACTGATGCCTGGATTGCACCAGGCCTTCAGCCAATGGTCATTGAAAGACAGTGGCAACCTTTTGATCTCCTTCAACGAGTTGGTTGGACTGAGGAGTGTGAAAGGGTTCTATGCCCAGTGACTTGCAACGCTCTTGTCAGAAGACCATATGAGCAGTTCAATGTGGGGCATGGTGCATACCTTATTGTCCACTTGGCACCAGAGGCGCACCTCATTCACTCAGTCACTGCTGATTTAACATCCACTGAGGGACATTTCATGACTCTCTTGCCTCGACCTGATCCGCGTGACCTACCAGATGATGCGTTTCGCAGAGTGGTGCAACATATGGGGCCTTTGTTAGGCCTCTCACTTCCCAAGGTTCAGATCAATGTGATCAATTTTCAGATTGCCCTTACGGATGCCTACAGATACTTGTTTTGGCATTCGGGAATCAAATGCACTATGAGATCCATGCTGGCTCTTTTTCATGCATCCGATCCTCCGGGGAGATCTCTGACATTCACCAGATTCAGGGTGACATGGCCTCTCAACGTCCCTGTCATTTTCTCAGAGCTGATGGAGTATGAACTGATCCCGGAACATGATTGGACATTTGTGTTCATGAGCCATCATATCGGCAGTCTCTGGCTCCCTCAAGATGCTCAGTACTTTGGGGTTGTTGGCGAATCACAGAGACAAATGCCGTTGTCATTGAACATGGTACTCTTTGAGGTGCATTTTTCCTGCCCAGATGGGAGCTTTCGAGATGTAGCGGAACACAGAGCGTTGATGGCCAGAGAAGCAACCACATGGTGTGAGGTCATACACATGCAGGATTTGCTAGATGTATGCACTGACAATCAAGAATGTCTCATCCAGGTTGAAGATCACTTCCTCCGGCCGGACATGGAAGAAGCGTACCTCTTTGATGGGTCCGTTGTCAGGATTTGGATTGGGAGCTACTATGACCCGACCAATGATTCTGGAGGCTCAGAAACTGACACAAGTTGGAAAGAAGAGGAGCTCACTATGATGAACATGGATACTGAACGAGAACAAGAACAGAAACCACCTCGTACTACCACATCGGCATTTGCTCCGGTCTCTGGTAGTCTACAAATGATGACCTGTTTGCTTTCATTTCTTTTTGGTGGTGCCAACACACGCAGATGGAGGATAGGAAAGACCCTTCGAATCAAAGGTGCAAAGGAGGCACCGACGGTGGCGTGGCTTGCGGCTGAGGAGTTGCCGTCGGTCACAAAACCGTCAACTGAAATCAGGTCTTTTCCTGTTACTCCTGATGAGTCAGGCACTTTCAGTTGAGGCCCAGAGCTCTGGGCCCATATTACCGACACGTAGAGTTGGTGAAGCATCAAATCCAGGTCCGGTGTGTCACTTGGGCACTTCCAATCCTGGAGGAATCAGGAACAAGGAGATGATTTATGGGCAACTTCCTTTCGGTGTCTGGGGCATTGCAGAAACGCACCTAGCCCAACCAGGTCTCAGAAGCACACGGAGCGCATTCCACCGAGCAGGTCGAGAGTATCAAAGGCACTTTGCGGTGCTCCCAGGAGCCATGGTCCCTTTGAGAAGCAGGTCGGATTCGGCTGGCACCTGGGCAGGAGTCATGACGATTGGTGATCTCATCCTACGTCCAGTACATGTCAACTGGCCTAACAATGAGTTTCTGGAAGGACGCGTACAGCTCACAGAATGTTGGCTTGGGCCCTTTTCCTTCACCGGAGCAATGCTTTACGGATGGCCGTCTGGACCTACATATCCGCAGGCACTACATGACACAAATGCCATGCTTGAGACAGTGATCAAGGAGGTGGTCATCTCGAAGACTGGCCCCAGATACATCATGGGAGATTTCAACCATGCGGCCTCAAAACTTCCAACAATTGAGTTGCTCAAGGCCTATGGCTGGATTGATATCCAGGAACTTGGGTTTCAGCGTGGTGTTTGGGAGCCTATTGCAACTTGCAAAGGGGCCACTACCATTGACTTCGTGTTCATCTCCCCTGAGATGATTCCTTTCTTTCGTAGAACCAATGCTTGGCCTTGGTTTGCCGATCACATCATCCTGGGTGCTGAGTTTCACTTCCCGGTGCAACCTGAGCCTCAACAGGGATGGCCACAACCCGAACGTATTCCATGGCATGAAGTTCAATGGGATGCCTGGCAGGCACAACATCAAGAGGTCTTGCCAATTGAAAAGATGAATGTCAATGAGGCCTACTCTCTGATTTGCCAGACCTATGAGCATAGCTTCAATGGGTACCTGAACACAGTGGATGGTCTTTTACCTACTGGATGCAAAGGACGAGGGCAACGTTCCAAACCCACCAAACGGGCTGGTGCACTTCCGCTTTTGAGACCATCTCGACCAGGAGAAGCACACCAATCTTCGGAGTTGCTGGGGCGCACGCCGCAGAAATGGTTTGTGCAGTTTCGAAGAATTCAGAGCCTCTTACATGGTTTGAGAGCTGGAAATGAATCGGCTACAGCGCAACAATATCGCGCAGAACTGTGGGGGGCCATTCTCCGCAGCCGGGGTTTTCAAGGTGGATTCTCAAACTGGTGGCAAGATCGACCAGTCAAGCTCCAAGGAAGTCCAACTAGACTTCCACTGAGCGTACCTCAATTGGACTGGGCAGTGAGCATTTTGCGAGATTTTGAGGCAAATTTCAGGAAGATGGAATCGTCAGCTTGTTGAACTTCCACCTGAATACCATCAATGTCATAAACTGTGTCTGGCGAGAGGGCGGTGTCCTCGGCCGTGTGAACCAATTGTTGATCTTCTGACATAGCCAGTATTTCAGTTGTCTGGATTTCAACCAGATGTTGGAGTGGTGCTTTCCCTTCAGGTTTCATCAGGGTGAACAGCCTGTCTTGATGTTCTTGAAAGTACGTGTTCAGAAGTTCATGGCGGTCCGTGATCACTCTTGCTCACGATGTCCTCTTTCAGCAACCTACAACCCTCACAGCCAAAACCCACCATGCCACTCCGAATGCAATCATTGCGAAATTGAAAACCTTTTGGAAGGAGCGTTGGTGGAAGCAGAATCTTCCTTCACAATCTGGCTGGAATCGGATGTTTGCTTTTGCAGAACAATACCTTCCCAGAGATGCGATGAGGAGTTCACCTATCTCAGTTGATCAATGGGTGGAAGTCAACAAAAGGTATGGATCAAAGGCAGCAAGAGGGCCGGATAGCATGGACCGCAGAGATCTGCAATGGCTCCTTCCTGGCTTACAAGAATCTTTGGTCAACCTGATGAACCACTGCGAGAGATTGGAGCAATGGCCAGACGCGTTATTGGCGGGTTTTGTCTACCCGCTACCCAAGAAACCGGAGGGGACAACTGCAGGTGACTTTCGTCCCGTAATTCTCTACTCCATGGTGTACAGAAGCTGGTCTTCTCTTCGTGCAAAGGAGTGCTTGCGACATTTGGAAAAGCTGGTTGATCATCATCAATTCGGCTTTCTACCGGGCCGTGAAGCAGTACAAGTCTGGTTCACTATTCAGGCCTATCTAGAGGTCAGCATTCTTGGAGGACAAGACAAATGTGGATGGGTCACAGACATTCAGAAAGCCTTTGAGAATATCCCAAGAGACCCTATCAGATGGCTCTCAAAAAAGTTGGGAATCCCATCACGAATCGTCAATTTCTGGCACAACTTTCTGGATAACACCATCAGGTACTTCTCGCTGCATGGGGTAGTGGGCCAAGCCATGCTTAGCAACAGCGGCTACCCGGAGGGATGTGCCATGTCGTGTTTTCGCGATGGGTCTTGCAGATTTAGTCTTCCATCTTTACCTCCGAGCATACTCTCAACTGGTCACACCGGTCTCCTACGTGGACAATTTTGAGCTGATTGCCAACAACATGGAAAACCTGCAACATGGGATTCTCTGCACAGAGGAGTGGAGTGAAATGTGGCAGATGAGTCTTGACAGGTCCAAGAGCTTTGTTTGGGGGACCAGCTCCAAGCTTCGCAAAGAATGCCAATCTATGGGCTGGAAACTCTGTGAAAGCGCAGTGGATCTTGGTGCCAACATGGTGTATGGCAAGAAGAATAACATTCAGGGAGCACTAGAACGTCTACATAGTGTCAAACCGCTCTGGGAGCTTCTCAAACGTCTTCCAGCTGCAGATTGGAAGAAACATCAGATTTTGCAACAATGCATTTGGGCCAAGGCCTTCTATGGCTGCTCAAACAGCCCTTTGGGGAAAACACACATTCAGGAGCTCCGTACGGCAGCCATGAAGAGCCTGAAGCGCAGTCGAGCCGGAGCTAGCCCTTTGTTGGCACTGAGCTCGCAAGACACTATGGCCTGTGATCCAGGCTTCTATCAACTTTGGAATGTCCTGGCAACCTTCAAACGCATGCTCAACAAGCAGCCCCACTTGATGGAGATGTGGAATTACTTCATGAATCACTTCACCGGCAATCGTAGCATTGGTCTTTTTGGCAAGTTGCTCGAGGTCGCAGGTGAAGTGGGTTGGAGCATTGAAGTTCCGGGGTTCTATGATCATGATGGTTTTTGGATTTCCTTTCTCGACATCACGGATAAGGCCTTACGCGGAGTTGCAGAAGACGCGTGGAGCCAACATGTGGCCAGAGAGATTGGGAAACGCAAAGACTTTGCTGATCTTCAAGGGTTTGATCTGGTAGCCTTTAGAAGTGGACAAAGGAAACTGGACATGCAAGCACGGAAGATTCTACAGCCAGTGCAAGATGGCTCATTCCTGGATGCCAGAACACAGAGCAAATTTGACATGGAGAAGAGTCGTCTCTGCTCAACTTGTGGAGAGGACGACACTCATGAACATCGCTGCTTCCGATGCAGTCTTTTTGCTGAAGTACATGTCAAACATGCAGAAATCATTGCGAGGGCAGCGGACCTTCCCTACTCGCTACGTGCTCATCTCATTCCTTCCAGGAATGTCTTCTGGGGATGTTTCAAACGGTTTTTGGCCACTCCGGAAGTGGTTGAGAGACGTGCTCTTCCTAAGCATGGACCTCGCTTGGACCTCTTCACGGATGGCAGCTGCTGGAATCCAGAACTCCCAGATTATGCTATTGGAGCTTGGGCTGTGGTTTGTCCTCAGACTGACCAATGGGTAGTGCGAGGAACCTTGTCTGGACTTCACCAGCACAACGACAAGGCGGAGCTGCAGGCCATCAAGTATGCGCTGGACATCTCCATCACTCATCCTGGAGAGGCTTATGCCACTTCTGGCCTACATCGCTTGCTGCAAGACCACCAAGACCTACCAGAAGATCCTGGAGATGGGCTTTGGATTGAAATTCAAGGGCTACTTCTTGGACGAGCTGGAGACCTTGGGGTGCAACATATTGCGGCACATCGAGCCGGATGGAGAGAGAATGATCCGGTGGATGCCTGGACTGCAGAATGGAATGATCGAGCAGACAGAGAGGCTGGAGCAGCACGGCTTCTTCGTGGACAGGGTTTTTTGAGTTGCCGAGAACGCCTTTTGCAGGCACATGGGGTGTCGGTTCGTCAATTGCAGCTGACGCAGCAACTTCACCTCGACATCTCGAATCGCAAATTTCAGGCCACATCACAAGTGGAGGAAGATGAGGGGGACCTTGACTCCGCCATGAGGGTTTGGCGGCTTGGTCGTGTACTACATGCTGATGCAAGTTGGTTGACGCACTTGGACACCAACTGGCTGGTGCATCTTCCTGGCTCTGAACTTGCAATGAGATTTGGAATGAGATTCTCGCGAGCCATGCTACAGTGGCTGCAAGATCAACGAGATGAAGAGACCGCTCAGGCCACCCGATGGACCTGGCTTGAGATTGCGCTTTACTGGCTCAAGAACTTTGACGACAAGCTCCCGATGCCGACGGGTACCTGGGAGGATGCACTGAGGGGTGGCCGGCACCGCCCAACCGTGGCGGCGATAGTGCACTTGGTACGTCGCTTTTTCCACCATCTGGGCTCTTTTTTTGGCATGGAGATCCTTTTCAGCAACGGACAGTCGTTGCTTCCCCTTGCCGTGCACCCTCCACAGGGAGGTGTGCACCTGAGACTGTCTCAGATGGTGATGACGGAGACACAGGAAATTCTCCGGTCCTTTGTGTCTCACCGCCCAATACGGGTGGTGAACGATCTCACTAGACCACTGCGGTAGCTTTGGCAAGATGAAGGTTTGACTGCCACTGCTGCCGCTGTGGCATGAACCATGACCGAAGTCCGCGCGTGTTTGGGAGAATTGTGTGTGATGGTGCTGTGTGTGAGTAAGTTGTGTGTGTGAGAGAGTTGTGTGCGTGTGAGTAAGTTGTGTGAGAGGGTTGTGTGTGAGAGAGAGAGGGAGAGTTGTGTGTGAGTAAGTTGTGTGTGTGTGTGAGCAATCAAGTTGTGTGTGAGAAAGACAGTTCCGACGGAAGGCGACCGAAGGCGACACAACAAAAAACAAGAACCCCACACAAAGATGTGGGGAATAAACACATGCGGCCGATTATCTGCACCATCTATGCTTAATATTCCACCTGTACATATGAACATCCGCCATTTATTGGGGTCCGTCATGGGTTCTGATTTCATGTTTGAACGGAAGAGATTGCCACCCGGTCGTTGGATTCCATTGGAAAGATTCTTTGATTTTCTCTGGGCATGGGGACCATCCAGTAAGTTATGAACATTGAGAAATGGGAAGCAAACTAGGCCTGAAGCAAAACGAACGCTTGATGACTGGACATTCGCCCTTGTTTCTGTGTGGCCAAAGGTGCCTGAGGCCCGGGCGCTCAAGTGGCGCATTCCACATTGAAACTCTCACCAGGCCGATGCTTGAAGTGCACCTGGACAGGGTGACAGGGCAGGGCTGCAATTTGCCCAGATTTGTGGTGACCTTGATTTTTCCATCTTTTTCCACGTTACACAAAGCTATGCCAATCTGAAGGAATCATACCTTCCTCTTAAGATTGAACACACCAGAAACATTGGATTAATACTGAATCTAATCTTTTTGGGGGAGCATATCATATTTTTCAATGCATCTAATATATATATAACATGTTATGCATCTAATATATATACATATATATATATGTTAAACACACACACATATATATATGCAAATATTTACCATATAGAAAGATACATATATATATATATAGGTGCTTATTTATTTGCTTATTTACTGATTGATTGATTGATTGGTTGATTGATTGATTGATTGACTGATTTGTTTATTTATGTTTGTTTATACAAATATTTTAGGGGAAGGAAATACGAAAAAAGTGCCCTAAGATCTGATCATTTTTCCCAACTGCACCTGACAAGTCTGGGGCTCCGCATCTGTACGGATCACGATGCCGGCATCGCTTGCAGTAAAGTCTTGGAAATGGCGGCCTTCCGACACCATCACCTAGCGAGGCTTGATGTGAACGCTTCCTTAGCTGGAAATAAACCACTATATCTTGGGGTGATTCCCCTAACTCCTAAATCATCCCATCTGAAACCCGAAAAAAATGGCGCTCAACCAACTTCCCTGGACTGCTGGCACCTTGTCACCCTGGGAAAGGAGATGAAAACGGATCCATTGGCGCTTCCGGCGCGCGAAGTCACCCAGTTTGTGGGAATCAATTTGATTGGGAGTCTCCGTAGCACCATTTTTGCATGAGCAAAATCTTTAAAGATTCGTTCTTGAAACCTGAGATGGATTTTCTCCGCTGGAGGCCAGGAAAACGCGCAGCTAATCCAACGGCATGGTGGATAAGCATGATGCGAATCCTATCTGCAACCGCTGGATTTCCTGGGAAAACAGCAGACCGTGGCTCCTGCTACATTCTAAAAGTTAGACACGCGAAATTCGTGTCGCAGCTGGCCAACCAAACGCACAATTTCACCCCTAATCACTGCATTTGGATGGCTCCCTAAGCACAACACTTTTTCCAAGAGCGCAGCACTGCAGTTGCACTATTTTTCGCCCGCTCCACATGAAGAATGATGAAAGCTGGGGCCTGAGGTTGGCCACCAGGAAAGACCACACCCAACTGATCAATTGTGTGCACATGGGCTGAAACTACCAAAACTAGGCGACCGAAATAACAAAATGGTCTACATTAGAGTCTACATCCCACTGCTGTGGAGAACCCATGGCAACTTCACCACACAAGTGTTTCACAACCTTTGCATCTGTGAGCCCCAATGCAGAAACACACGCGACCACCCTACTGACAAATGGTGGCCAACTATAGCTTATGCACAAACATGCGAGAGTCAAGGTCTATGTTCACATGATATATATATATATATGCCAGTAAGTGTGCAAAACTGTGCGGATAGATGGCCCCTTGGTGGCTCAAAGGACCTCACCTCGCAGTCATGACTCACTGCGGCTGGCACCGTGTACTCGTAGACCGTGGTTGGATGCCTATCAGGCATTTTTCGGTTGGAAAAAAAACCTCGAAAAATGAATGTCCGGAAACTAAGCGACGTGCTGCCGCAAAAAAAGCTACCTGTTGTGACGCCATCTAAATAATTGCAAGAAAAATGGTTCAGTGTCATGGGCAACCCTGGGCCAAACGTGAGCAAACTCAAATGTGTGGTAGCAAGTAAAAATTACGACCTTTCTGCATTGAACCACACCCGGCACGGTTGGCCTTACCGCGAATCATCTCCACATCGTTATCACCATTGGAAGGTGGGCAGCGGTCATTCACAATGGCCACCATGTTGCGTGTCTGAACATACCCAAAGCTGAGAAAACCGCCCAGCTCAAGCACATAGATCAATGCAGTAAGCAGAAGCAGCCATCGGCCATGCATGCCACTGGACCAAGCAAACCAGTTCTGAAAGCATACTAAGACACACAAGCTGCCGTGCAAATACCTTCGGGACATCCCGGTCGCAGCCGTATCAAGACGATCCACACCAAAGTGTCCGTGCCCCACTTTGCACATCAACATGTTGGTTCCCGTTGCCAAAAGCACTGCAGGTAGCAGAACAGGCACCACGGCACCCCATAGCAAAGCTACTTCAGCCAACGTCACGAGCAAATTTGCCTGCGATGCATGCCCTAAGCATCCGCTGGTACACATCCAACCGCCGCTACCCAAGATGTAGAGCTTTCCTCGATCAAGATAGGAGAGCTGCCACCTGGCCAGGGGGACGCTGGCAACCCACAAGCAATAAGATGGCCAAACCAAGACAAAAAGAGTCAGATTCCAGAAAATCATTATGCAAGATCGCTTTAGCATGATTCCACCATGCAATGCCCATTTCTTAACAAGTCCCACTTGAGCAAGGTGATGAGGGGCTGCAGGAAGGCACGGGAAACCATCTTTGACACCAACAGAGGTGCCATGGTGTTGACCACGGCTCGTGGACACGCACTGTCACTCCACCAAGATTCCTTTGCTGAGCAAAGGTCCGCTTTGGGCTCAAGAATCGGGTTGCCACCCAGACTGATGTTGAAGAGTTTGTAGGCTTCCGTGTTTTCATCACAAACCTTGGCGGGAAAACAGAAAACTGAATTAAAATTATCAAACCCGCATGTGGAACACTGTTTTGCTATGTGTTGCCCCCGTTTGCCCCAGTTTCGTCAACAGTCAGTATGGGGCATCAAAATACAGGAGCATGTCAAGACTCAAATTTGGTCATTCCCAAAAATTGGCATTACAACGCGAACTGCCGAACTGGTTGTCACCCAGAAACGTTCCACAACTGGGTCCAGCCGTTCATGCAATGCGTGGTGAGATAGACCGTGCTCAGCACTGCCCCAAACCACATAGTCCCCAAACGCGCCGAAGTGGATAACATGGATCTTCGCATGCCAGTGGCATCTGAAAACATGGCCACTACTTGAGGGGTGATGAACATGTCCACCAGGACAATGACGAAAGCTGCTTGGTAGTGGAAAAACGTCACCCACCAAGCCTGGGAGATCGTTTCTTTTCCCACATTCCAAAAGTTTTCCAATAGATGTCACCTTTGGACCGGGCATGGGAAAATCTGGGGAAATAGTTTAATTTGACAAATCAGCGATTCAGAAAAGCCAGGAGGCAGACAACTGCAGAGTATTGTTGGAAGGGATGGCAGCCACAAGTGCAAAGGCCACAGAAGGTAAAGACAGGACAGCCACAATGCAGAACCAGCAGCAGCCTGGTGGTTGGGCCACGCATCCATCAAAAGCTATTAATCGTGTTTATATAAATAAGTAAATAAATAAATCAATAAATAAATAAACAAATTAATATATATATATATGTATATATATATATAAATATATATATATGCATAGTGTGTATATATATATTATATATATATAATTGTATATTTTTAAAAAGGAATTATAGCGATTTTTTATTGCTTGTCACCATCATAAATCAGATTGCACTTGTGTTTACAACACATTGAAACCACCGACCAGGAACTGTAGACGAACTTCAGGAACCAATCCCACCATGTTGTCGTCTCCTCTCTCTCGGCTACTGTTGGGGTGGGAGTGCGGCGCAGAAAAAATGCGCCAAACGCAATCCAAATAGCCCACAGGAGTGAAACAGGCCACTCCACCAACGCTCGGCTGTCGTAGGGGTCGGAAAAATTGCTCAGAGTAGTGGATGCAAAGATGCTACCACACGGTTACCACACATGTAATAAGTTGCGCCAGCATAGTAGGCGGATAACAGAAACCCAGCCACAACTGACAAAACGACGCCCATCTGAAGAAGAAACATGTGGGCTTCACATGTCAAGTCTGTGCCGGCTTTTGCGAACAAAATTTGACGATATGCATCCTTGTCAGCCAGGAGGGGCCAACCACACAATGCGCATATCGCCGCTAGCTGCACCATCCGTTTGAATATCTGATTTGCCGTGCTACTTGATACATACAAGAAGGGCTGATGTTCATCACTGTGGATCCATTGTGGCAATTCACGGGTCCCATTTCCCAACATGTTGCCAACCAGGGAGATTGAACGCATGTCTTGTGGCCAGTTCGTCACTTCTTCCGGTAAGCTGCATGAAAGCCGGTTGTCGTGCAGGAGCAGGACAGGACCCCGTGCACTGGCAGCACTGCAAATTTTGCATGCTTTGGGACAATGTAAAGCAACTTCTGAATCCCGGCAAGGCGTATGCGAGCGCCTTCTCTCAAGTAAAATAAACATACTACAACTCAACCCGGCCCTAACGAAAGACGCATCGTCGACGCAATCTTGATGGAGATTTAAGGATGGAATTGGACCTGCCAAGCGGTTCGAGTGAGCAGAGAAAAAAAACAACCCTGGCGCAGTCGCCAACTCTTGAGGAAGAGTCCCGTGCAATCTGTTCCCATGGAGGGTGAGAACATTCAATTTCGGAAGCTCAAAAAGTCTTCCAGGCACTTCTCCTGTTAAGGCATTGCGGTGCAGGGTCAAAACCTCCAAAGACTTGAGCTGACTCAAGCACGGTGGTATGACTCTCAGGGCGTTGCCGTGCAAGTAAAGTACTTTCAAATCAACAATTCCAATACGACAAATCTCCGTAGAGTCATGGATTCGATTGGAATGAAGCAGCACAACGTTCAAGGCTTTCAAGCCACCACTGCTTTGGGAAAGCGTTTCCAAACGGTTGTGATGCACGGAAAGCACACGTAATTTTGTCTTGCCACGCAAGTCGGGCAAATTTCTCAGCCTGTTCTTGGCGACCCTCAGTATAACCAAGTGGGGGGAGCTGAGATGAGGTATGGATGTCAAACGATTCGAATTTAAGCGCAAGGTAATCAAGCGCAGGCTTCCCACAGACTCGGGCAATGAGCTCAAGCGGTTGGAGTCCAAAGTCAAAACACGCAAGTTGCTCAGGTTGCCGACTGAATCTGGAAGCGATGCAAGCTGGTTGTTCCGCACATTCAAGTCCACCAGCTTCCGCAACTTTGAGACCGCTCCAGGCAAAAAGGTCAGCTTGTTCAACCCCAAGCTCAGCGTGCGGAGATTATCCAAGTCTCCGAGTGACTCCGGCAATGAAGTGAGCTGGTTCTTGTCTAGGTCGAAGTGCTCCAGCCAGTGCATCCCACCCAGCGATTCAGGCAGCTGTGTCAAGAGATTGGATTCAAGTTTCAAAAAATTCAGCTGCCTCAGCTGGTTGAAGGACTCCGGCAAAGCGGTCAAATGATTTGACCCCGCGTAAAGGGCATGCAGCCGCACTAACTGCCCAAGTGAATCAGGAAGTCTCGTGAGTTTGTTGTCAGTCAAGTCCAGCGATGATAAAGATCGCAAACTCCCAATGGTCTCGGGCAAAGACACCAACTGATTGAATCCTAACTTGAGGGAATGGAGTGATTGCAAGTGGATCACGGAGGCAGGAAGCGAAGTGAGCTGATTGGCATCCAAATCTAGCGTGACTAAGTTTGACAATTCCAGAGTAGAACCCGGCAGCTCAGTCAATTGGTTGTTGTTCAAAAACAGTTCCTGGAGGGATTGCAACTGCCCAACTGATTTTGGCAGTGAGCTCAACTTATTACCCGATAGCCACAAAGTTTTTAAAAACTGCAGCTGTCCAATGGACTCTGGGAGCGAAGTGATGTTGCGCCCAATGAGATGCAAACGGAGTGTGCGGCCATCATGGCACTCTACCTGAGGAAGTGCACATGGATCCCTTCCCTGTTCCCATTGGAGGTTCGCCGCATCGAATATTTCGCGCAACGCGTTCACCTCCTCCTCTGGCAAGCTCGCGGACAGGAAAGGCAGCACAAACAAGCTGCACAAAAGAAGGCAAATGCGACCGGCTGACATAGCTCAGGCACCCCTGGCTGGATATGTTCACAGCTTGGTCTTGATATGGTTCAACGTGGTTGAAACGAAGACGGTTCCTGCATCCACCTACAGTAGCTCATTTGATGATGTCATGCTGTCTGACCCGTGTCTACTGAATGTAACGACTAAAAAGCGAAACAGCTGCAGGAACCCTCCATGGCCTCATGGCATGCCATCGTTGGTCCATTTTTCCCAGGCCGGAAGGGATTCGAAAAAATGCCCAATGCCAGTCTTTCTTTCTGTACATTAACTTCAAGAATGCAAAACATCTCAAAGCCATCTGCTTTGTAGACACACGCTGACTTTGAATTCCAAGTTCAAAAAAATCAAAAAATATACTTTTGGATCTTGCCCCGTGGGCTTTACACTACAGGAAGGAACAGCGTAAGGAACAACATCTTCATCTTCACGCACACATCATACTGATCTTTCTTCAAGATTGCCAAACAGGTGGAGCAAATTGGCCTCACAGAAGCGCCCTGGTCTTCGGAAAGAATCAACCTGGCATCTCCCAGTTGAAAATTGATTACACGTTTTTTTGAACGAGGTATCCACAATCATGAGATGGTTCTTTCAAAATCTTTCAAATGGGTGTGAGGTTGAGTGGCTGCTCCTAAGGAGCCCTTGCATGATTGCAATTTCATTCGGCCAATACTTTTTCATTTCATCTTCCAGCGGATTGCAGCCCCATGTTCGGACAAACTTAAATTTCCATAAACACAATGCATCACAATACCACTAAGAATGCGTACGCGTCCGTCTCCCGGGTGTTCATAATAGTCCAGTTCTGTATCCACCGACGTGATATCATCGTCCACTGTTTGGTCATCCTGCAGTCTGAGTAAGAGCGGTTTAGAGGTTGGAGAAATGACCAAATCACAGCTCAGCATGGCAGAATCTGCTTCCCAAACCAAGCCAAGCCAAACCAAACCAAACCAAAACTCCGGAGTCTTTCCAAGCCCCTGACAAAACTTTCCTGAAACCAGTGGAAACAAGTAGAAATCTTTAGGGTTCATCCTTTCCAACTGAAAGGGCCACCACCACACGCAGAGGGAATTCATGAAGCGATCACACGGTTGGATTAAGCCATGCCCAAAAAGCACCTGTGACTTCGTCTCCATGTGCTTCATGGACTTCGCAAAAACCTGACATTTGCTGCGAAATCATGATGGATGTTGACAAAATCAATAAAATCAGCCGTTTCAAATCACAATGACATAAGCACACTTTAGCTTCGGCAGAAGCTGGCGTAGCGAATAAGGCAATCAAAGTTTCAACAACCCCAGTCGAATCTTATAGTTTTGACCCATGATCAGCAAACTACCTCTTTGAAACAAACAATAGAACACCAAAATCCTGAAGAACTGCCGCTATAGCTATTAGTCCCTTCCTCCTAATACTAAACGCCCCCCCTATTACTAAACACGGCAGATAGTTTTTAGTAGTAGGGGGGTATTTATCATTAGGGAACCCTAATACTAAATTTAAAGCCTGAATAAAAAAACGATTTTTCCGATCTCAAAATCAATTAAATTTCTTTATATAACGCAATTAAATATTGCCAAGAATTAGATTTCGAAGCTTCCCCCCAGTAGTCAATTAAAACCCTTAATAATAAAAACGATTTTTTCCGATCTCAAAATCAAGCAATTTTCTTTATATAACGCAATTACAGTAAATTGTAAAAAATTGGATTTCGAAGCATCCCCCTAATATATACTAAATTAAACACCCTTAATAGTAAAAAAGGATTGGCAATAGATTTGGGGTGAAATGCAAATGATTTGGGATGGTAAATGCCCCTATAAATATTTCCAGGAAATCATAATCCCATCTAACATTTAACTGTTCCCTAAGTTCTCCCGGGGGCCATCCAGCCGCCAGCCCTCATCCCGCTAATCCTTTTGCTGTGGCATGATCCAAAATAAATCTACTTTTTTACTTGACACTTGATTCGGGGGGGTGATCTACAAGTTTCGTCCGAAACTCACCTAAATCAGGTCATTTTGGAGTTCTATCTACGAAACCCAAATCAAGTAGCAAGTAAAATAGTTGATTTAAATGCTCTACTTTGTAGATGTCAACATTGGAATTTTGAAGTCCCAGATCTGAGCTTTTCAATTGAAATTTGTAGAGATTCCAGGGAAAAGGGATGTGTTGTAGATGTCTACTGCTGAAAATCACAGGCTGAGATCTACGACATGCTCAGCAAACCTAGGATTTAGGAAAGTTTCAATTGAAACTTGCAGAAGTCAACATCCATTTTTTGGACATGGAGATCTACAAGATCACCTTTTCTGCTTGCATTAGATTTGGGATCAAGACTTCAGGGGTCCTTGCCAAGCAATAGTACGCCACCAAGAAGTCAACATACACCATATCAAAGGAATATTTAGGCCCCCAACTCAATGGGCATCACAGATATTTACAAATATGTAGAATAGTAATAGTAGATCGTCAGATAGGTTTAACACTTAGGTCCCCAAGAAGTCAATGTATACTATACAAGTTTAGGTCCCCAACTCAATGGACACTACAAATATATACAATAATGCTAGCCAAAATTGGGATCCCAAATCAAATGCTTTTGGCCCAAGATCAAGTGCTATTCCTTAAAAACTATTTTTTCCGACCTCAAAATCAATTAAGTTTCTTTATAAATTAGATTTCGAAGCTTCCCCTTAATAGTAATTTAAAACCCTTAATAATAAAAACTATGTTTTCCAATCTCAAAATCAAGTATTTTTTTATATCGATCTCAAAATCAAGTAATTTTCTGTATATAACGCAATTAAATTGTCAAGAATTGGATTTCGAAGCTTCCCCCTAATACTAAATTAAAAACACCAATATAAAAAACACAAAAAAATCGGACGGACCCTAATAATAAACACCCCGGGGTAAACTAGTTTTTAGTATTAGGGGGGAAAACCCACAAATGGTAGCTTGATTTTTAAACTGTTTTCTAAAGGCGATCAATTAAAAGTCAAATTGGCCAATGCGAAATTTTCTGAAATTGGAGATGGACGCCTGTTTTTAGTATTTGGGGGACGTTTAGTATTAGGAAGGGATTAAATATCCAACGAAAGCTTCAAGATAATGTGACTGCAGTAAACTCCTGAAATGTTCGCCCTTAAAAAGGCACACCAAAAACGTGCATACGATCACCCCTAAAGAAGGCTACTGCCTGTCTTCATTGAAAGTTTTTTTTTGCGCAATGAAGGAAAGAAAACACCTGAAGAAATCACCCCTGAATAAGGCTACTATTCTTCATTCAGAAAGGCACGCTGTCAGGTCCTCATTCTGCCACGTTCTTAGGCATGCAGTGTTTCTGCTACATCACGTTTGATTATTTATGTTCATATACCTTTAATTAGATAATGTTACCTTATGTCATGAAAGGATCTTTGAACACTTTAAAGGTATTGCTAGAGATTCCCAAATACTGTTAGACTTCCCCAGAGGTTGCCAGAGATGTCCAGAGAGCAATAAAAAACCCCAGGGGAAAGGAAGGAAGGAGGGAGAAAAAATATAGTGTATATATATATATAAAAATATATGTATGTATATATATATATATATTATTGCTTCCCTCAGGGTAGAGGGGGCCCAAGGGAAAAAAAGGAAAAAAAACAGTTGTTTTTTCGTTTTTTCTTGGCCCTTCACCTCTCCTAGCCCTCCTATTATATAGCCCTTCCCTAACGGCCGGCTACGGAAAGCTAACGTGAACACATGGACTATGAAAGTCTATTGACGGCAGGGTTCCAGGTTGCCCATACCCAAAAAAAGCCCGGCAAAAGAAATCCGCCACACAAACAACAAATCATCAGTCAACCAACCAGCCCCCATTCGCCAAGTTGAAAGCAGCTGCAAGATGATGCAAGCAATGATTCCCCGCCATGCAATGGCATAATCATCCCAATCTCGCTTTACGACCTTTATGACAAGTTTTTGGCAGATGGTGGAATGATGTGGAATGAGAGGATCATACCCAGGAAGATCATGCAGCCCAGGGATGTACAGGTACACTTGGTCTTGCGCGGACATCAGCACTTTTGCTTTGCCGCGTAAGTGCGGGGTACAATACAATGGCTGTTGAAAATTATATATTTGGTTACTTTGGAGCTATACCCTGCAAACTTCAATAATTCTCGTTCGCCTTGAGTGGCTTGGCTTTCCAAACTCCACCCTCTGATTTGCAACATCTCCCCTGAACATTTTCAAGAAAAGGACAGATGTGAAAGCAAACGACTTGGGGCCACACCGCTTCCCTTTTCCAACGCGCTATGGCTACGTCTCCCGTGGATCTGGAGGGTTGTCATCTAAAATGGCAACCCTGCTGCGTCTCTGATCAGGCCAAAAACTCAGAAAACCTCCCAGCTCAAGTGCATAAATCAACGCAATCAGCAGGAGCAGCCACCGGCCATGCATGCCACTGGACCAGGCAAACCAATTCTGGAAGCACACTAAGACACACAAGCTGCCGTGCAAATACCTTCGGGACATCCCGGTTGCTGCCTTGTCCCGGGCCAAATGCTCCACGCCAAAGTGGCCGTGCCCCACTTTGCACATCAACATGTTGGCTCCAGTTGCCAAAAGCACTGATGGCAGCAGAACAGGCACAAAGGCTCCCCACAGCAAAGCTACTTCAGCCCAAGTCACCAACAAACTTGCCTGCTGCCCAGGTTCCAATGAACGACTGGTACAGATTAGACCGCGCAACATGTAGAGCTGTCCACCTTCGGGATATGACATTTGCCACCTGGCGAGCATGACGTGCTGCAAAACAAACAAAACACTGCTGTTTCCAATGTTGCTATTGGGGGACTAGGACCCTGAAACTTCCATCTAAGAGTTTCAAGACATCATCTGCGAAGCTAAAGACAAAAGATTTGGCCGTGCTTGTTTAATCAAACCCCACCTAAGCAAGGTGATGAGAGGCTGTAGGAAGGCACGGGTGACCATCTTCGATACCAGCAGAGGTGCCATGGTGTTGACCACGGCTCGTGGACACGCACTGTCACTCCACCAAGACTCCTTTGCTGAGCAAAGGTCCGCTTTGGGCTCAAGAATCGGGTTGTCACCCAGACTGATGTTGAAGAGCTTGTAGTCTTCCGTGCTGTCATCACAAACCTTAGTGGTGGTTGACCTGCGAGAAAAAACATACGTTCAAACAAAATAAGAAAAGATTTGGGGCCCGGATTGCCCCGGTTCGTTTCTCAGAAGCAAGTCAGAGAGAATTCTCCTAAGATCTGAAAATTACAGCGACACTCCTAGGACCTATATGGGGATGGGTCAAAACCTTGTACCCCTGGTGAACATCAAAATAGCTGGTAAATGGATGTTCATCCCACTAAAAATGTATCTATAGGTATTGATCCATACCCATATCAAGAAATAAATACCACATCGACACACTCTGCGACTCAAAGGCAAGTTATTTAGCCTGGCCCTGGCCTACGAAGCTAACAAACAAAAACACACCCAGAAACCTTCCACAACTGGGTCCAGCCGTTCATACAATGCGTGGTCAAATAGATGGTGCTCAGCACTGCGGCCAACCACATGGTCCCCAAACGCGCCGCCATGAATAACATGGATCTTCGCATGCCGGTGGCATCTGCAAAAAATGCAACTGCTTTGGGAGTGATGAACATGTCCACCAAGACCATGACCAAAGCAGCTTGATAGTGGAAGAACTGTAGCCACCAAGCAGACAGCTGCATGGTATTGTTGTGCGGGATGGCACTTACTACAGCATAGGCCACAGAGGGGAATGATAACACAGCCACGACGCACAGCCAACAGCAACTGTAAACAAATTTCAGGAAGCATTCCAACCAGGACATTGCTTCTCCTACCATGGCCACCCTAGGTGTGGGAGCATGTCTCAGAAAAAATGCTCCGACTGCAATCCAGACAGCCCACAGAATTGCCAACGCCCATTCGATCAACGCATGGCCACGGTAGGGCTTCGAAAAATTGCTCACTGTAATTGATGAGAAGCTGCTGCCGCACAAGTAATAAGTTGCATCTGCGCGGTAGAGGACAAGCAAAAACATTGCCACAGCTGACAAAATGCCACCCATTTGAAGAAGAAACCTGTGGGCTTTACGAGTTAGTTCGGTGCCTGCTTTTGACAACCAAATGTGGCCATAACCACTGTGTGGGACTAAAAGCAACCAACACAATGTGCATATTGAGGCCAGGAAGAATGCCCGTTTCAACATTTCAATGGACGTATTGTCCGATATATACAGAAAAGGTTGATGCTCATCAGTGTGTATCCAATCTGGCAATGAATGGCTTCCATTCCCCAGCATGTTTCCAACCAGGGAGATTGAACGCACGTCTTTGGGCCAGCCTGTCACTTCTTCCGGCAAGGTGCATGACAGCCGATTGTCGTGCAGCAGCAAAACAGGACCCCGGGCACTGGCATTGTCACACATTCCGCACGCCTTGGGACATCGCAGTGCAATTTCCGCACTGCGACATTCCAATGCCCACAAGCCTGACACAGTAAAGTCATCACAAGAGTCGAAGTCAGACAGGAAAGATTCGTCATTGACACAGTCTTTGCGAAGGTGTAATGGTGGGATGGGACCTTCAAAACGGTTCGAGTGCGCTGAGAAAAAAAACAACTTTGGCGCAGTTGCCAGCTCTAGCGGAAGATTGCCATAGAGTCTGTTCCCATGCAGGGTGAGAACACCTAAATTCGGAAGCCCAAGAAGACTTTTGGGCACTTCTCCAGTTAAGGCATTGCGGTGCAAGGTTAAAACCTCCAAGGACTTGAATTGACTCAAGCATGGGGGTATTTTTCCTCTCAGGGCGTTGCTGTGCAAGTAGAGTGTTTCCAATCGAAGACCTTGTCCAAGTTGACAAATCTCAGTAGGTTCACGGATCCGATTAGAATGAAGCAACGCAACTTTCAAGTGCTTCAAGCTGGTCAAACTTTGGGGAGGAAGTCTTTCCAAGAAGTTGTTGTGCAGGGAAAGCACGTGCAACCGCATCATTTGACCCAAATCCGGTGGAATGCTGAGCCGATTCTTGGCAACTCTCAATTCCAGCAAGTACGGCGACATTAGATGCGGTATTGATGTCAAACGATTCGAATCTAGGAACAAACTTCCTAGACGACTCAAATTGGCAATGGACTCGGGCAATGAGTTCAATCGATTGGAATCTAAACTCAGGACTCGCAGAGCTTTCAAGTTACCTATAGAGTCTGGAAGTGAAGCAAGCCGGTTGTTGTGAAGATCCAGGTTTATAAGGTTTTGCAACTGCGAAATGGTCTCCGGCAAGGACGTTAACTTGTTGGAGGGTAACCTTAACACCTGAAGCGATTGCAGCGCTGCAATGGATTCCGGCAGTGACATCAGCTGATTGCTCGCTAAGAGGAGGTACTTCAGCGGCAAATTCGTCAAGGGCTCTGGTAGCATGGTCAACTGATTGCCGTCCAAATCCAAAATCGACAGCTGCAGCTGTCCCATAGATTCGGGTAGGGAAGTCACTTGATTTGATTTCAGGTACAGGGATGTCAGTGACTTCATCTGTCCAACGGAGTCTGGGAGCATGGTCAGGTAATTGTTATCCAACCAAAGCTCCCTTAAGGATGGCAACTGACTAACGGACACCGGCAAAGCAGTCAACTGGTTGCCGTTCAAAAACAGCACTGCTAGGGATTTCAATTGCGCAATGGACTCTGGCAGCGACCTTAGCTGATTGTCTTGCAAATGCAAGCTTTCAAGGGACTGCAACCGTCCAATCGAATCAGACAGCCAAGTCAGTTTCAGTGAATTAAGGATCAACGATTCTGTGGTCTGGTTGCCCTTATCGCATTGCACTTGAGGAAGGCCGCATGGGTCCTGCCCCTGCTCCCAGGGCAGGCTTGCCACTTGAAAGATCTCGCGCAAAGCTTCCACTTCTGCACTGGGCAAAGTGGCAAAGACGCTGCAGAGAAAGGCCAAACCAATAGAAACACATCGGCGAAATGTCAACATGGCTCTGACATGCGAGAATCACGGCTTTGACATGCGAGAATCACGTTAAACCTTCCCAGCTTTGCATGGCTTACATGTGCTGGTTTCATGAGGACCAAGTGGCCATCCCCAACCTGGATAAAAAGCTTGTGATCCTGGTTTCAGGCTGCAAGGATTCCCGACCTTTTGAGACCACGTGGGCTGCTACAATCTCTGACCTTCCCAACAGCATGCTTATCAAATCCAGTGAATCTGAATGCAGCCGGTCTCTGGGAAAAAAAACTTGTTATATACTTGAAGTGGCAGGATCCCGAAGTTACCATGGCTTTCAATACTAGGTTACTATGTCATGGTCAAAAAGAAGGTCTAGATGATTTGGGGTACCCATGACTTAGGAATCCTCCATATGCTCTGGTAATCAGAAAGATGGCTTGCTGGAAAATCCCCCGGCTGTTTGAGCACCATTCAGGACCACGATGGCAGTTCCAGCAACCACTACAGATTTAAACGTATTTAAACCATGGAAGACGGACAGAAACCCATTGAAAATCCATGATAAAGTTCCTACTTGAAGAGATCTCCACAGGGACACATCACGGTCCCAGCCACGCCGGAACTGAGCACACCTGGCCGCCTCAAAAGTGGCCGAGGGAAAACACTGCGGCCCAGCTGAGAGCCCGGCTGCAGACTGGCCAAACACTTTCAGAAGTGATGAAACATGCCATGGTTTCGCCGTAATCTTAGTAATTAAAACATAAACCACCAATTCAATATGTTTATGGTTTATACCATCCATTGATGGTAAGATTGGGGTTTAGTATTGCTTGACTAACGTCAGTTTCATTCCTAATTCTTGATCAAGTGGTCCGTTTTTGGCCTCGTTGGTTTATTCGTTGTAGGGTCCATATGGGCGTTCAAGGAGCGTCGAAGCTGAGCAGGGAAAGCGATGGTCTCGCACTGGCACCCACGGTGTCAAGTAACTATCCATAAATCATCACTATGACACAGAGTTTTTGTTTGATCAAAGAGATTTCTTCAATCCGTCGGTCCATGAATCTTTGGAAACAGAAGAATTCAGAAGAATCCACCAAAAAATGGGCCGCAAAATTGAATCATTGGATACCAAACAATGGTTTCTGGAGGGGTATTTTCTAATACTGAAGCAAAAATAAAGATTCATTCTTGAGCTAGCTCCAATTCTCTGCTACAGAAGTTTGACCCCAATTTTGATCCTGCGAACACTGAGGCCCCGTCACCCTCATAATCGAAATGCAAACCCTGCGGCACGGATCGCCCCTCCCTTAAGACATCGGCATCAAGCGAGTTCATCCTTCCAAATCAGGTTTGAAGCGCCCAAGCTAAGCTTTTCCCCACACTTGAAACATGAGTTGAACATTCATGAATTAAAAGCTGCGTCAGGCATTGGTGGCAATTGGAAGCAGCAACTTATGTTGCGCATGAGCTACAGCAGTTGGCTTCCACAGCAAATGCCACAACCATCACCACCCAGCCGGCAGGTTGCCGACATCATGTTTCGATCAAAAAAAATCAAAAAAACATGTTTCTGTCATGATAGCCGTCAGCTACATCCTTCAAGACATCATGTTTACATTCTCCCAGGGACCCAGATTTCTTCTCCCCTTTGCCCCCTTTGCCGGTCAAAACATCCCGTCCATCCAGGGTCCATCCAATACCACCAGCCACCTTGGCAGCAGCACCTGCACGAAAGGAGACCTCAACGGGAGCCGATGTATATTTGTATGACATGTATATGTATATATATAATTATATATATATATGTGTGTGTGTGTGAAAAAAGAGTACTGTAGCCCTCAAAACGATAGAAAAACAATGAAACACATATATTTCTTCAAAGTTTCACTTGTCTATCATTTTTGTGGGTGCTATAGTAGCACTTGGGGGTCTAAAGGGCGTTATAAATAGGCATAACCGTAATAGTAATAGCTACCATAAGTTCGTACAGCCACGGTTATATAACCACTGATTTGTGGAACTGCATGTTCCCAGCAGGGATAACACTAAGAATCCATTGTCGATCATGACTGACAGGTAATTTTGTAAGGATGCTGGCGACTTCAGAGAAAATGCAGATAATTAAATGTAATCGATCATGATGGATCATGCCATGCATCATTCGCAGTGTGAAAACATCTTCATCACCATGCCATGTCATCTTGGATTTGCTTAAGGGAACCATCCAAAAATGCCAAAAAAAATCCAAACATACCCCTATAGTAGATTCCCCAGTCCCCAAGGAAATCGGCCCAAACAGCGACGAAACGAAGTGCCCAGCCCATGCGAAGACGTGCAACTGCAGTAGGCCTCAGGGGTGCACATGGGATCTCCCTGGCTGCTATAAACCTTCCATTTGGGGACGGTTTATACCATCCATTTCCGGTGATTTTGGGGATGGTTGATTTTTGGCTTTATCACATGAATTTGACTGACAGAGAATCATTTCATTTGAATAATTTGAATGACAGAATATCGTCATTTGATTGAATCTAATGATTTAAATGGATATTGATAACCCATCATCTCAGTTGTAGGGATGGAAAATGACACTTCGAAACCACTGGTCATAGGGCTGCCCTAGGGCTGCCCTTTTTGTGCCCTGGGTGCCCTGGATGCCCCTGCCGGGTCCATCATCAAAGACGATCTTGTCCAAGGCATCTTCCTGGTGACGGCGACAGGTGGTTTCGAAACACCCATGGTGTGCTTCAGAATATGCATGCAGATAATGCAGATACGTTTAATAAATAGACACACACAGAGATATATTATATACTACCCCACGATTCTCAGGGATATATATATATATTATAGATGTAGATATAGATATAGATAGATATAATTAGATATCCGTGGGTGTCTCTGGGTCCCAAAGAACACCGTTGTTTCCTAAGATGCCTCAGTCGGAGCCACTTGGAAGCACTCAGGCCCCAGGCAGAATCCAGCAACACTGGTCGACTCACAATACGCCAGGTTTCTGCGCATCCTGAAGCCGCTTCTGTGCCCAATATCCCCATCGAAATGTTTTTTGGCATCCAATGTTCGAAAAAAAAAGGACAAATGCCCACATGAGCCCACATACATATAGATTAGTACGGATATTGAAATACATATGGAGGTGTTCAAAATCATTGGCATCCCCAAATCATCCAAATCATGAGACCATTTTAGGATTGAAACCCATGGTGACTTGGTTGTGCCCCATTTTAGGAAACCTCATGTATATATATATATCCACTCCATTCTATCTACTTCATTCAACATATATACATATCATTGTTATTTTTGCAATTATGATTACTACAATTACTACTAGCACTACTATTATCATTTGTGTACGTGCTATACTATATAACATGCATTTTGTTTCTGCATCGTGAGCGTTCTGATATTTTGTCTATTGCGCTGTTTTCTTATGTTTCCTTCACTGTCTCTGAGGCGCAGCCGCTTGCCACAGCAAAACAGCCTCTGTGATTTTTATCCATGATTTGCTGACTATTCAATGCCTATCCTCCAAGTGACCCCCTAAAAATGAAAGGCGCGTCATGATTGATTTTATTCATATACCGCAGAATGCATAAATACACTCGCATTCTAAATTAAACATATTCAATGCAACCAGGACATGATATTGCTTCGAACCCCCAAAGAAAACAATGGAACATTTCCACATGGCAAAACCCTTCGTCTCGTCTGGCAAACCTCCACACTCCAACCTCAACCACTTGGACCTCAGCGCACATATCAGCGGATACAGTGGGGGTTGCCACCGGATGTCAAACATAGCAAATGAAGGGGAAAATCCCCGTGACCTAGGTATGAAAAACATTGAAAAACTCTATAAATGGAAGTGTTAATGGTTTAAAAAAAAAAAACTCTTTGGAAAATTTGGCAAATGATAGGGACATACACCCCATTATTTGGGAACTTTAGTTCGCTGGGAACATTCTCCAACTTTTTTTTGCTGGGGTGATTTCAGCCTCCCTGAAAAATGAAAAATATGCATACGCTCATGAATTTAAATTGTCATCTAGTGTTGAAAAACAATCCATACTTGAAATCGCTAGCCAGCTTGTCGGGGTATCTCGAAATTTAGATGGCCCACTAAGTCAGCTTTGGGATCCGTGATTCTTTTCTTAACATAACTTTCTTCGAGTAACCTCCGCCCTGACACATTATTCTGATATAATTTCTGACATGCCAACTCGAATTAACATGGGATATATGTTTTTTCTCATAATTATATATATATTTGTTCGTTTATTTATTTATTTAAATATTGAAATATATCTATTTGTGTATTATACCTGGATCTTCAATTGCTACATGTTGTTGCTCGTTTTGAGATTTGCTCGTTTCCAAAATGTCCATAACGATTAGAAATTGACGTAAGCTCTATTGGCCAGATTTCTTTTCTGAATTTGCGCACGATTGCGCTTATTTGCGCTCGATTGCGCTTATTTGCGCCCGAAATTGCGGCCATGCTTTTTGCTCCAAATCGCTCTCTGGTATTGAAAATGCTCGCTATTTCTGATTTTGATAACGATCCTGGATATATGCTCGATTGCCCCCAAAGTACAGGGTAGGAAAAAATAATGTAACGATTGAAGAGCCAGGTATATTCAAATATATTTAAATATATTTACTGATTGGTTGACTGATTTATCTATCTTATTTGTTGATTTATTTATGTATCTATTTGTTGACTAATCTTTGCTGATCTATTATTTAATTTATTAGTTGAGTTTAGTATATGTAAATGCCTATATTCTGACGCTCTTTCTGGCATAGACTCCTGGCATTCTATCTCGCATCTATCCTGAGCAGATCAATGCACAGCGCCACACCAGCACTGCAACCTCATTGCACGAAACTGTTCCTTGCGGATATTGAACCATATTGAACCCGCGGCCTGAGGCTCATAAGCTTATCGCCCCAACTATTCTAAAAGTTTAAAGGGCAACGAAACCAGGGCTGGAAGACATGGCAGCAAGGGTGCCAGGGATCCCTGAGACTGCGATCAGCATGCGGGAAGTCATGAAGGGAAGAAGGCAAGGCAGCACCGGTTTGACGCAGCTGCGGTTGACGGAAGGTCCTGTCTGGAAATGGCCAGGCCAGTGCAAGGGTCGCAGTGAGGTAGTGCCCACTGCGATCTGGAGTTCGCAGTTGATGTCCGGCAGTGCCCACTTAGATCTGGTTCGCTGGGGAAGGCAAGGGAAGGGGAAGGGGGAGGGGAAGGGAAGGGGAAGGGAAGGGGAAGGAAGGAGGAAGGAAGGAGGAAGGAGGAAGGAAGCATATAACTTTTATAAAATCCAGAGGCCCTGATGTGGGGGGAAAAATCCAAGGAAAGTGCCAGCCTCCTTAAGGGATGCCATTGGAAAAACGATGCCTCTGAGAGGCATTGAGGCATTGCTCTGGATACTAATTGACGATATTGCTGGATAACCCAGTTGTGTGTCATATGATATCAATATACCCTCTGGTAAATTAACATAGACCCTGGCAGTCATCGGGGTTGGAAGATTAGTTTCCATATTAAAACTAGGCTATTTTCAGGGTCCAACTGTTAATTTATCAGAGGGTACATCATAAATCTATGCACTTAAGATCATCATGCTATCATCCAGCTGGATACGTCCCAGTAAATTTTCAGAAAATAACGTCCACTCGGGTGGCCTCCCGAAATTCCAATGACTGACTGAGGAAACGACAAGTTCTCAGGTGCGTCCTGAGCTGCTGCAAAAAAAACATCTTGAACCAGTGAGTTTATGTAAATTTAGGGTATTTTTTGGACCTGTTTCTGTCGACAGACTCACATTATGTCATTCCCTATGGATCCAGCTGTGCCTTCTTAGGAAGAGGCAGCTGGGATGAACTCTACCCAACCTTCGCGCTGTTTTTCTCTGCGAAGCAGTGCTTGCTAACCAACGCTCGCAACGCAAGGTATCCATACGATCCCTTCTCTTTGTGCCGTGGAAAAACCCGCAGCAGGATCCCCCTTTTGGCAGCTGTGAATCTCTCTGTAACTTGGCCGACCTGGATGACCTATAGCCTATAGCTGTTTGGCAAACCGAGAAGGTGTTGCGACCGCGTGGTGATTTTTGGTCCGAGCTCACGAGGCGATGAAACAACTGCCCTGGGAATCTGGGTCCATCTGGGTCCTGTGACAAGGCTAGGGCGCCATCAGAATCCGCTGCATCCTTTGAAGTAAATGAAATAAAGAACCTGGTTGGTGGTTTTTCGCCACCCCTCTGAAAAATGATGGAGTTCGTCAGTTGGGATGATGAAATTCCCAACTGAATGGAAAAATCAAATTCATGTTCCAAACCACCAAACAGGAACAATATATGGGTGTTTCCTATAATGGGTACCAAACTCCAAGTCATGAATGACCATGAGTTTTCTGCCTGTCAGCTCGAAACTCTTCTAGCCTTCCCTTGGAGAAGAAAAGACCGGGCCCCCAATTAGGGGCGCCCTGGAAAACATGTCGAAAACACCTGACCCAAAATGAGGTCCCATCACAGATTCACAGATGAATTTCCGGTGAAAACCACATGTTGCTTGCTGAACTTCCCAGTTCTATCCATTTCTCATCAATGTTGGTCAAATCCTGAAGATGTTGACGCTTTAAATCCCAATTTTTGCAGTTCAAATCAATTCTTGGGAAAAAGAGGTGTAACTTCTGCAGATCCTCAATTGGGTCGGAAGTTTCCTTTTTGTCGCCAAACTTCCAACGAATTTCTGCCAGATCTTATCAAGACAAGATTTTCATACGATGTTGTCGCTTTCAAAACAAGGTAAAACAAAAAAAAAAAAAGCAAAATGAAAGCATGATCGAGATAAAGACATGTGTAAGAATATAGATTTGATAGTACGATATAGTACGATAATCTCTGTCGTGCTAGATACACATTCCAGAGAGAGAGAGAGAGGGAGGAAGAAACTGAGCTATCTGTCTTGCAAAGTGCTGATTCGAGCATCATTCAAAGAAAAGAAACGCGGATCAACGGACCGATAGAAAGAAGGCTGGCTGACAGGAAAAATACTGAAAATTGGTAGGTAGACACATAGTGACAGAGAGAGAGAGAGATAGACAATGATCATCAATGATCACTGTATGGATAGATAGATGGAATATAGATGGATAAATGAATAGATTCATATAGATTCTAACAAACAGTTCATTGCTAGCCAATTCGCTTTTCTTACATAGCTGCACCACGTCACAACGGGCATCCGCAGAAGTTCGGCCCAAAACTGCGAGATCAACTCTAAAGCCCCGTCAAACGTGACGAGAGAAGCCAAGATTTGGGTAGCTTCGGCATGGGTCAGGATGGTCAGGGTCGATGATCAGCTGCTTTTTTGCAGGTTTTTTTGGATGATCATTTTGTGATTTCAGGATCCTCCTTTTTTGAAAGTGCTGCTTAAAGTCAGACATCTCTAACGTCATCAAATCTTATTGGCTTCAATGATCAGGATATATCCGGATGCATTCAGGATGCCTTCAGGATTGCCAAATTCAATGACTCCAACAGTTCAAGATTTATATAAAAAATGGCGTTGGGACAATGTCTCCCACTAAGTGAGGCCCCGCTATCATCATTCTATGCTTCAAAAACTCCAAGCAGGGGTCGATTGCGCGCCAAATTCCTCTGGATTCGAACCATGCCAAAGCTCATCCCCATCTCCAGTAAGGAAGATGTTGGGGGAAAAATTGGGGCAGATTGGAACCGAAAAGGCACCATATCAAGTAATTCAAGGGGAGCACCATCGCATAAATTTTAGTGCACGTCCGCACGTCCGAATCACATCAGCATTACTGATGTTGTGGGATCTTGTGGATGTCTAGTTTCAATGGCTTTACTGAAATCCTGGGATTGGTTCTAGATTGCTGCACTACAGTAATTGCTGTCACTGCACTGGTTGCAAAGCAATGGATCGTGCTGCATGTTGGTCGCATTACGCTTCTCCATTCTCATCATTCCTGGCCCAGGAATGGGAATGGGTGGATGGATAGAATCATCATGGCCAATCACCTAATAATCTTCTAGTAAAGGAATATGATGATTATTTTCACCCAAAAAATCTTGATGGCTATATCATTTAGCCTAAATGATGGTGAATTTGGGGCTGGTGGATCCTATTGCTTTACCAACATTACCTGGTTGGTGGTTGAGCCACCCCTCTGAAAAATGATGGAGTTCGTCAGTTGGAATGATGAAATTCCCAACTGAATGGAAAAATCAAATTCATGTTCCCAACTACCAGCCAGTTACTCTCATAATAATGTTCATTTAATAACATTTACTCTATATCATGGATAATGATTATCATAACATTTCTCTATATCATAGATTTAATAATGATGTTGGTAATGATTATATGTTACCATTTAGTAAATGTTATTTAATCCATGTAATACTCTATATCATTTACTATATCATTTACCAACCAGTTACTCTCATAATCTTATCTCATGATATCTCATGATCAAAGTTGCGGACTTACGCAGTCTCGACACCGAAAGAAAGCCGGGCGCCACCCTCAAAGACTTGCTACTGGAAAAAAAAAAAACATGCCTTACGGATTCATAAGATGTATATTAATATTAACATAAGATGTAGTATGAATAAAGGTGAGACACATACTATAGTATAGTAACATATAATATAGTTTATCATATAGTAAATGATCATATAAATTATGACTATATAATACAATATAATATTATATTATACTATATTTCATTATTATTATTGCTATTGTTATTATTGTTATTATTATTGTGTTGCTATTGTTATAATCATAATTACTATATATATAATTACATCGATTCCTTGATATTCCAAATCCTGTGGGAAAAGTCATCGAAAATCCATAGGTCCATAAGAAACTGATGGAACCCTCTTTGGCTCGGGAAACCTCCGCCGCCGTGGCTCCTGCTGCATCATCCACGGAAGGGTCCCCGTGCGGTCTGACTTCCCTCCGTCGCGGGCCTCGGAAAAAACCGGCACGGCCTTCTGGGGGGCCATCAACGGCGATGGCCAGTGGATGGCAACCCATCATCAACCCATGGCGAGTGGAGAAACCAAGGGAGAAACCAAGTCCTTTTGGTAAAAATAGAGGGAACGGGAGCTGGTATACCATCATATACCATCTATCATCATAGAAACCTGTTGTTTTTCCGGGGGTTCTTCAAAACCCTCTATTTTCATCAACCACCCAATGGGAATTTGGGACATCTATGCCAAGGGACTCTTTCATGGAGAGCGCCAGTTGCAAAGGTTGTTGCTGGCGACGTTCCACCACTTCCTTCCACAGCTCCCTTTCGTGCTTCACACGCTCCTGCGAAGGATGGACGACTCTGAGCAGTGTCAACACAGTTAAGCAGTTGGTGTAGCGTGGTTGGACCACTATCATATTTATGGAGGTATCGTAAGAAAGTTCCAAGTTCAAAATTATGATGATTCTTTTGGAATCTTTTGGATATATATAAAGGTTCAAAAGAATCATTCTCTGCTCAGCTTCCCAGCAAATATACTGGAAGTTATCCTGGTCCTAATCCATGAGCTGGGAACCCCCAGCTTAAACCAAGCATTGCTTTGTGGATCTGTTCTTGATCGAACTCACGGAGAACATCTTGGGCAGCACGCAGCACTGGGAACCAGCGACAGTTTAGTAGCGACAGTTGTAGCTCATGGCAGAAGTTACGAGCTCTGAACCATTAGAAGTATTCTCAGGTAAGCAAACATGGCAACGGAAAAGCTTCACTTTCGATAGAACAGTCATCTGGATGTCAATGGCTCTGTTCCATTGTCAGATTCCCATCATCGTTTCTCAGGCACACCCAGGCACTCCCCCGCCCACGGACCAGTTGCGATTCGATATGCTGTTGAGAGATCTGAAGCAAGCGCAGCACGCTGTGGTCAGCCTGCACCACACTGATGGTTGGCGGTTCAGCCCAATATATGAGCTCCATGTGGGTCATGCCATACTGCCATTGGGTGTCACAAACAGACAAGATATGGCAAGATGGCATCCAATTGGTGACTTGCAAAGTCACCCAAGCAAGGCATGATGGCCATCTCCAAGAGTGTCCGCAACAGAAAGCGTCACTCGTCCTATCCCCAATCAATCGTGGCTACATACGATTTTTGGCCAGCCAAGCTCCAAATTCATCCCAAACTTATGGCGGATTAATCATGCTAGGTACAACCCCATTCATGATTTAAGACCCACTTTGCCTGGTTACTATTGACAAAATGAATACCCAATCTGGTACCTGTTCCGAAATTTCCGAATACCCGGCTACTACCAATGTACGAGATTTCTTATCAAAATATACCCACGACCCATGTTCCAATACTCCCAACTACCATAAAGAGACTTACAGTAATTGTACCCTCTGGTAAACTAACATAACTATGGAATATCACCATTTTTAATGGGAAAATTCACTATAAATGGCCATTTTCAATAGCTATGTTAGTTTACCAAAGGGTATGTTGTCGACCATTTAACATCGACCAACCGAAAGGAGTTGTCGATGTGAAAAAAATCCTCTCCTCCTTGATTCATCTTGGGCCAACCTTCTTGATGGATATTTTCCGGGGATACACTGCCACAAAATTTAACATAATATAATATGTATTAATATGTTATATATATATATATACATGATTCCAGATTCTAAACTACCAGAAAACGACTTAAACTCAAACATATAACTTCTACAGTAACATCTTCCAACTATTATGTCTAACTCTCTCTCTCTCCCTCCTTCGCCTTCAGGTCTGCCTCAGCCTTACTGAATACTGAATGGCATAACTATGTCTAACTATGCCTTTCAAAAACATCTAGTAACATCAACCGAAAGAAGTCAGTTTACAAATCACATCAATCCAAAGGGTCATCATCCCATGATAAGGGACCGAAAAAAACATGGATCTGATATTGAACATGAATTCCAGCTACCCTCTGGCAAACGTGGCAACTGGAAATCGACCCAAAAATGGGAACTCTGAGGACACAAAGGAGGCCTAAAAAATCAACATATTTCAACTACCTAGGCCTAGACCCTCCGTTTGTACCCTCCAAAATGTGGCTTTACCCTGTAACATCCTATAACAACATCCTACAGTTTTAGAGGCTAACATTTTTGGGGGGGAGTGCTTGGAGGGTACCTGTGCAGTATCACCCTTTAATAAAACAGTGCGGTGTAGTTGCCTTGTGCATTTTTGTTGGTGAGTTGCCACTGTGGTGCCTTTTTGGCGATCATGTCCAGTATATTGCGGAAGCGTTGCGAGCAGCGCTGGCGCCAAGCTTTGTCCACGCGGAAGGAGAAGGTTTCGGCGCTCTCCTGGGGATCTAGTATGGAAGTGGGACGTTTTCTGCCAATGAAAGGAGAACATCTCCATTCATAGGCTTGGGAACCTGGATATGGATCAAAGTGGGGCGATATGGATCATTGAAGTACCATCTTGGTTTCACACTTTTTGGGCATTTTTTTTTGGGTGGAAATCTACAGGAATCAGGGGAAATTTACCATGAACGATAATGGGATAAAATCTTTCCTCACTAGTTTCATGATGGTGAATCTAAGGGTAGCTAATGGTGAAGTGATCCATTTGATTGCCGAACTTTTATGAACTTAGCGCTTAAAATTCATGAGTATGATATGTCCACAAGCCCAAATTTGTGCTAAAGACCTGGACTGTGGCCTGAAACTTGGGGGTTAGTAGAGCAAATCATCACTATTTAAGTTCCGCAGCTCCCCCAGGGGTTGATCAAGAAATGTCCCCCTCCACAAGGCTATAGTTTTCATCATATTGTTGGCCACTATATTTGGATTTCGCTCAAAACCATTCAAAACCATTCAAAACCATTCAAAACCATTCAAAACATCAACATCTATATAAACCTATCATATTTTGGGTGCACATGGAATATCATGACAAAAATCCATCATCAAATCCTTCTGTTTTTCCCAGCAATTTTCATCTTCCCCCCCATCCCTGGCGGCTCCTCCCATCCCAATAGCTCCACATCAGCTTCTCCAGCTTCGCCCTCGGCATCATCGAAGCGGGGACCTGGGAAGACCCCAACGACCTGCGCGAACTTCACCACACCTGGCGGGGGCACAGGGCCGCACAGGGCCCTGGCGAAACTGCCGGGAAACCCCGGGGGGTTAAGCCCCGGGGTTAGAGCCATGGCTTTTTTCGATGGGTTTTTTGTTGCCTTATCCCATGTATAAATGGATTTATAATGGATTTACTACCTGGTTATTTAACAGTTCGCCACGGAACATCACCATTTTGAAGTTCGGTAAACCATCTATTTCGATTAGGGCCATCCATACCATGGCTATGTAACAAATAACCAGAGGGTATAACGGTATAACTATGGTTACTAATTCACCAGTTTGTCAGTGGGATGATCCCACTGATCCTCCAAAGGCTTTGACCAAGCAAGATTATACGTGGAAACTGCAGTTTTGGGCGTTGGTGTAAGGCACTCTTATATATAATAGTTTATTGCAAACCATGGGTTGCAAACATATAATGCTCACGGATAATATAACATAATAATATATAATATAATATATCAATATATATATATATCCATATGGGTTGCTAGATGGAAAATGATGTTCGGTTGATCTGGGTTGAACCGGATTATTTTTTATGATGTTGAATGAAGGGGTGAAGAGTTGGATGTTTGTTTACTTCAGCCTAAGCTTATTCCAAGCATGTTGAATGATATAAGCACTTGGCCTAGGTCGCCTAGGTCTAGTCCCAAACTCTTTGGGGCAGTCCAAAAATGCTCCATTTCTGGCAGAAAAATCAGCGAATCCACAGCTGCCTTTGGTCAGGGAAGACATGCAGTGCTTCACATCCTCAAAAGGCTTCTCATTGACCTGACGGTCACGGCGGCAGAGTGTCCCAGATCTAAGAACTTCAACTGGTGGTTTTGGGGAAAAAACATCATGGCAGCAATGATGTCAGATGAAGGTGCTTGGTTGGGGGGCCACTCAACCAAAGTGATACTGATACAACTGATACAACCAGTTGTCGATCATATCCTGGGCTATTTAGCGAGTTGAATGAGTCTCCAGGATGCTACAAATATATCAAATATCTACAGATCATCTCGGTGGACTTACGTCCCCTTCATGACATGGCCATGGCTTCATTTTGGAAATGTTTTAGTGAAAAAAATGATCAAATCAACTGAAATGCAGTGGATTTAGGGATGCCCATGGATGCCCATCAGAGATTTTCACTTCGGTCCCAAAATGTCCCAAGAAATCGTATGAAAATCCCCATGGGATTTGACCAACCGCCCATGAAAATCCCATGGCACCTTGGTGTCGAGCACGTCATGGATGGAATCCAGCTGCGCTTTTAAGTTCTGGGCGTCCAGGTTGCGTTGCTTCTCCATCTTCTTGACGGACTCAGACAGAGTGCACCATCTTTGGGTCCAACAATGACCAGAGATAGCTGAAGATGGCAGAAAACTCTAGCCATCATCACCCAAGTATCTGGTAAACATGTATATGGATATATATAAATATATATATATATTATATATGTATAACACACACACATATATATATATATATGTGTGTGTGTAATTTAAAATGATGTTTGGTGCTGAAACTCTCACAAAGAAAGGGGTGATACAACATGATACAACGACTCTTATTAGGCCTGAAATTTTACGAAACGGCCAAGTGACATCGCCCACCTTTGAGATATCCATTTCATGGCTGGCACTCTTCACCGTGAGACCATTCACCTGGTTTTCGCTGTGGCTGGCGAGCTCACCAGAAAAGCCACGTCAGAGGGTCCCAACGTCCACGGGCAATTGGCAATGTCTGGGGGAGCACACGTGGAGTTTTTCACATTTTTTTTCTGCAAATGTCGATCTGGATCTTGAGGTTTCTTGAGATATCTTGAGATTCCTGAGGAAGAACGGACTCACATATGATTCAACCAGAAACAGGTCCAAAAGACCAAACATCACTGTAGTGGCACTGTAGTGGCAGACACCCAGTTGGCCCGGTCCAGCAACAGCATCTGCAAGAGCTAAGGGTTTGTTCGAATCAGCTAATGTCTGGTACTTGAATATGACTATGGAAAATCACATTTTTTTCAAAGGCAAAGCATCTATAAGTAGGCTGTTTTCTATAGCAAGGGTTTCCTCCCCCGACCTTTCATCACTTTCATTTCAAGAAACGGCTGGTTTGGAACTTCCCAACCCCCTTTCTTGGAAACAAAACCATGTTATCCACCTATATAGTCATTATTTCAGTTTTATCCTAGTGATATCTTTGATACATCTGATATATATTTTTTTATTTATCTATATATATTTATATATATTGATTTATTTATTATTATTGTTGTGTACATTATATTATATACATCTAAGATCATATACAGGATGTTATCAAATAAGTTATATATAAGTTATAAATTAGTTGTACAATGGGTACCAGCTTAAACATCCAACTGGGAGTCCAAGGCCCATAGCCTCCTCTCGGATTTTCAGGATGTCACGTTTTTGCTCGCCCAGGCCACCCTGGACACCACTCATACCTGGGGCCCACTGCTTAAGAAAAATCGAGGTCGACGAATTAGCCCATAAAAAAAAGTTCTTCAAGTTGGATTTTAAGTTGAGAACCATCTTGAAGTCAAAGAATTAACATCTCTGGGTTTTTTGGAAATTGCGTTGCCTCTAAAACTTTATGATTTTTTCCAATGTGAAGGACCAAGTTTGGATGATTTTAGTGTCATTTAGTGTCTCATCATATCTTAAGAAACAGCCCCAGATTTCCATCATTTTCTGCAACCTATCATGTGGTTGGGAACATCAATTTGTAGCTCTAACTGTCTCCCCATTATGAATCCCCCAAGCTCCAAATCGCTCGCTCCCTAGATAGCAAGCCCAAGCTTCAACGCCATACCTTGAGGATCATCCTATTTCCATCCACCGGCGAACGTAAACATTGAAAAAATAGGATGATCCATGAAATAAACTTCAATAAACCATCATAAACCATCCAGCTATATCCAGCTCTTGGGGGAATGAAATAAACTTCAATAAACCATCATAAACCATCCAGCTATATCCAGCTCTTGGGGGACCACCATGACTATGGAAACCTCATGAAACCTCCATCATAAACCATGAAAATTTGGGGATAATACCCCACTGCTTCAGCGCCCTCACCCGACGTCCCAGGTGCGAAGATCCAAAGCTCCCAAGCGCCTTGAAGCTTCAGCCGCGCGCAATTCGGATTGCTGTTCCTGGGATGGCTGGGATGGCATGGCGAAAAAGACAGCCTCCAGACCAGTGGGGGAGCTGAAGATCTTTGTGGATCAAATTTTGGTCCAATTTCTGCGAATTACCTCTTTTTGGAGATCTCCCGAAGCTGAAGCCCAAACAAAAAGTCGCTTTTTTTGGATTGGAAACCATCCGACTTAGACTTAGACAATCATTTTGAGCCATACCCTTTTTGGCCAAGTGACCACAATACATGGGGGAAAAAGGCACCAAGAGTCCAAAGCTTCCGATGCCGTTTTTTGGCTGAATCTGCCATGTCTTGCGGCCTGATTTCCATGTGGAAATCAGACCTCACTTGAACCGAGACAATTCACTAATCTGACATAAGGCCGGGAATAGTTGTATAATGTTGTATACATTTACATAATTTTACATAGCAAAATTCAACCCATCATTCCAGCAATCTCCAAGTTTCAACGTCCCCAATCTTCTCCATGATTTCTTGCTGCTTTTGACGCGAATCGTTCTTCACCCGAGCCTGTCGAGCGGTCGCTGTCGAGTCCAATCCCAAATAGCCTGTTCCATCTAAGTTGTGTCCAAAGAATCTTTGTTCCTCCGTACTGAAAGCCGGTCGTTTTCCATATCTCCTGTTATTGTTTGGCACAACATGTCGTACGGTGATTTTCACGCCGAACATGGCCTACGAAAGTGGGCGACTGTTCGATCATTTACCAACAAAGAATGATGACTTTCCAGACTTTCCACAGCAAGGGCATAAGTTGGCTTACAGACCGATCTACCCTTTGCTAATCTAACGTGGCACTTGAACATCCACTATTTTTTTCTGGTGTTTCAAGCGGAAAATCATGTATTTTTGGGGTGGATTTTCTATTGCCATGGAGGGTACCTGTAGGTTCTACCCCACCAGAAGCCAAAAAGTGGTGTCACCAGGATGGCCGTTGATGGCGCCTCCGTGTCAGCCACGGTACGTTCCAAGTCCGATCGCACCACCGCCACCTGTTTTGAAATTCGTGGCTCCCGCGCTCCCGTTGCGATCGTGGGGGCTTCACATGGGAGTTCTACGGAGTTTAACCATCAAACAATATGGACACATGTTGGGACATGATATAGAAATATAATATATATATATATATAAGATTTTTATATATACATATATATGTGTGTGCGTGTAATGGAAAGTAAGTTATGATAACCAAGAATATGATATGTGATAGTTGGGTGTATCTGAGAATGGGGTACCCGCCGGTGTCAAACATGGCTAGCTGGGGAAATGCCCTGTAAAGAAGTGCTTAAATGGGAACATGATCGAAATAGCTTGTCAAGCAGAACCCGTTGCAAGTGCTGGGGTGGCCCAAGAATCAAATGCTTTTGGCAGAAAATCGAGCCTTTTTATCCACAAAATGGCTGCTGGGAAACTGACAATTCACAAAGTGAATTTGTGGGCACCCAGGCATCATTTATGTTTTTGTTTTTATCTTTTCTTCAAAACCAAGGAGGAATCCATAAGAATCCACATCTTCCGCATCACAGTTTGGCCATCACAGTTTGGCCATCAATGCCAACCTCATTGAAGCAGTCACTCAGGGAGTTCTGCGTAGTGTGCAGGCTTTCCTGGGTGGCCGAGAGGTCTTTGTTGGTGAAGTCGATGCGACCATTCAGCGCATTGATCGCCTTGGCGATGGCGATGCCGAACCGTCCCAAATGTTGCCAAAAATGGCAACATCTGCTTACTACTGTAGGGATGTTATAGATATCCAAAATGGCAATCTGAAAATATGGTAACCATGAACCAACATGATATGTAAAATTCTCCACTCACCATGAGATTTCACCGTGTTTTTCCATGTTGGCACCATTGCAAAAACCCATCATTTCCCCATCATTTTCCCACCCGAATCTGCAATGGCTGCAATGGCCAGGCGCGTGATCGGTGTCCATGGCCAATTTCGCCTTGGACTCCTCCAAGTTCGTTTCAACCGAGGTGATATCATGGCGCATGGTGGAGAGGATCTCATCGACCTCCATGGCAAACATCGCCCCCTTTTTTGGCCATGAAACCACCAACAAATTGGGGGATATGAAACCATATCACACCAACAAAGCAGGAAAAATCATGGAACATGAGGAGTTCAAATGATTTAAGCCATGAATATATCATGAATATCATGGATTTAACTGACCATAGCCTGGGTCAAACGTGATCGTAATACGGGTGTAGCTTATGAATTCACGTGACCAATGATAACCACTAGCGATGCTTCGGGAGGTGCCACAGTTTTGTGTTTAAGATGTCCATTCAATTGCCATGTTCACATACTTTGGATGGGCCAGCGAAATCCGAATCACTAGTTGATAGATGGAATCACCAGTTGATAGATGGTAAACATCCCATGATTTATAGGGTTTCAACATGTTTCAACCATCCTTTTGGTGGTGCAGGATTTCGCTGGCCCATCCACAGTATGTTCACGACTTTTCGGCCTTCCGACGGCGCGCGTCCACATCCAACCGCAACGAGCTGATCATGTCACGCACCGTTTTGATGGCCGCATCCAAGTCGTCATTGGCCTAGCGCCACCAAGGGAGGTGGGAAGTTGGGCCCAGAAAGCTACTGAAGATGGGGAAAAAACCCATGTCAATGGATTGGTTTAAGGGAAAATCTTAACCGGAGACCATCGATTTTTCATGATTTTCCCATGAAATATGGGGCTTTCCGGTTAAGATTTTCTCTTAAACCAATCCATTGACCAATGTCAGTTTCATAAACCACCCTACCATCTACCAATCTTCCAGATGGTCCGTTTTTTGGTTGCCAAAAATGGTGACGACTTCAAAGATGGCAGGCCCGGGACACACCTCCTTCCATGCCACGTTGTCCACTTTGCCGTCCAACTTGGTGGTGAACTCCTGAGCTCTCGATTGGTGAAAAGTGGTGGAACATCATGGGGAAAATCTACAGGGTGAAAATGCTGATTCATATCCATTCATATCAAATTCATATCCATTCATTCTCAGACGAATGGTAGTTCATGGTAGTTCTGTAGATCTTTCCGAATGATACAACTTCATCCAATTCACTCAGTTGTTTCCATTGCCAGGTGCTGCTGAAACGGAGTGGACTGGCAATGCCTAGAAGCCTTCCGAAAATGGAGATGTCCCAAGTCCATAATGGATGTGTGGTTTCCATAACTTTTCCGTTCAAGAACATCTTTTCTGATCAAAAGAAATACGGATCTCCTTTAACGGAGGCAGTTCCAATCCGAAAAGAAAGCCATCCCTTCTCCAAAATCATGGTTTCTGTGCTAGAATTGGGATTACTTTACCCCAAAATGGATCAAACAAACACGGCGTTTTACTTGGGAAAATGAGGTTTTTATGTTTCAGACCATGAGGTCAACCAAAACGAGTATTCCGAATCTCAATCAAAAAATGTATCCGTTCTCAAAATCTCCGCTCGGATTTTCCCATCAACAAGAAGGCTTATATGATCTATTATGATCTTATATGCATCCATATGCATCCTTTTTGTATGGAAGAGTTATCACCACTTCTCCCTTTGTCGATGCCATGTCCGCGCCCTGAAGCCATCTGAAAGATCGCCATCTAGACACGTTCTTCAGATTGATCAGATCTTCAGTGGTGTTGTCTTCCTTCTCTTGCATCTGTTGCAAGGTATTGGACACGTCTTCCATCCAACCTTGGTTCAAGGGTAAGGGGATGTCATGGCAAATCCATGGAGTGATTCAACCAAAACTAGGGAATTCAACCAGCAAAATTCTGTCTGAAGCGAGCTTAGAACCGGAAAAACATGGGCAGTTCAGCCAGCAAGATCGGAAATTCAACAGCTAGTAACTAGTGTTTTGACAAAATCTAATGATTTTGATGGTTCATCAACAGTTCATCAACAAAACAACAGGGTTACCCTCTGGCCATCTGGGCGTCACTGGCATCTGAACAGAAACCAGCACTAAGTGGATCAGGATCCTCATTCAAAAAGACACTCAATGGGAAATCTGCCATATCATCACCCCAACCCCCAAAAAATAACAAACATACAAAAAAGACACAGCCCACACCAGATGTTTCCTGATTTTATCATCATTCTTATATATGATCCCAATGAATCATCACCCATCCCGAACCATTCATCATTCATCCCAGGTCACTGTCATGGTTCTTCAAGGCCTCTTGGATATCCCCAATATCCAGCCGCATGGTCGAAATCTCCGCCGTCATGGTGGCCTCCACCCGTTGCCGCGAGGTGATGATGGAGTGGGTGGCGTCCACGCGCGCCCGCATCTCGTCGAGGTCCACGTTCACCGCGTCCATGGCCGCCGTGAAGTCTTCCATGTCGCGCTCGCAGGCCAGGACGATGCGACGGATGTGGTTCACCTCACCTGAAGATGGATGGGATGGATGGGATGAGATGGATGGAGATTATATGGAATGCCCATGATTTTCCATGATTTTTTGGGATATTATGGGATATTTTTGTTCGGGAAAATGTGGGAGGATGATGAGGTGTCTGGAATGTGTTCTTCTTGTGATTTGGAAATTGGGGTTTTCACATACAAAAAGACATGTATTTTTGGGCACGGGCAGGGCAAAGTTGGATCATGTGGCACAAATCAGAAATGGCAAGCTGGAAAATCACCGAACTAAATGAATCTAAATGAAGGTTTATAGCTGGCTATAGCTGGGAAAATACCATCTAATTCTAATTATAAATGGCTGATTTTCCATTGCCCACCTTCTGTCATCCCCCCCTGGTCTTTCTCCAGGCCGGGGCCCCTGGATCCTAAGGAGATGTCGATTTTTCGGAGGTAGCCCCCTTTTTCATCGGATTGGGCCCTTCGAGTTGCCCCATAATGATCAAGAGCTCCAGACAGATCCATCTTCAGACAGAGGTCTGACCAAAAAAAAATCGATTGCCCGACTACTGCTGTTGGTTTCAACCAAACAAATGCCAACAAGAAATCCACCCAATCAGGTTTTGGTCACAAATAGTCCCAAGGGTATATCGCTTTATCGTGCTTTATCCATTTCTGTATATTATCCCCATTTGCCCTCAGGTACGCAAACAATCCCAAACCATGGCCTGCTGGAAAAATCCCCCAGTCAGTAACCAATGATGTTCCCTTCAAAAAAATTGCCCTTTGCTTCAGGGATTTCCCACCGTTCCGCCCGGGCCTTTGCTGTTGGTCAACAGGTCTTTCAGTTCGCCCACGTCGAACTTCAGTTGGTCAACGTCCTACTGTCGGGGTCGTCACAGTCCGGGTCGCTTTTTAAGGGACAAGAAATGAAAGGAACCATGATGTGTAGCAGGCATTCATGAAAACATTGTGTTTGTTCATATTCATGTTTGTTCCATATGTTTTGACCATTGATAAGGAACCTCAACATCCCTCCATTCAACCAGCATCAACCAGCTATATCAACAGGTATTAAATCAGGTTTTGGTCACCTTTTGGTCACCAGTTTACTCAGTTTTTACCACATCCTGCCATTTTTCGGACCTCTGCCATGGTGTCCAAGCCGGTGTCAGGGCCCACGCCATCGATGGCCTTGGTGGTCCCTGACGAGCGATGGACGTGGGACAACTTCTTGTCGAAGTCGGTGGTCACATGCGACAACCTCAGCAGGTGGATCACTTGGGTTGCTGGGTTTGGCTATAAAATGCTATCAAAACCTCCATTGATAGTGGATTTTCATGTGTTTTTTTTTGCCGTAGTTTGAAACTATATTATGGTTTTCCCTATGTTCCCATTTGCCTATGATTTGGGTGGATGAGCTGGGATGAGCAAATCCATCGAAATGGGCATCTCAACGGGCACATCAATCAACATATCAGCGAAGGAAATGGATGTTCCAGCCATGTTTTTATGCCGCAAAAGGGGTGAAAAACAACAAAAATGTTAAAAAATATATAGATGATTCATCTCTTAAATGGTTTTTCCTTGGTTCTAATCCCTTCCCGCCCAAAAAAAAATAGAACATAGCCACCTTGCAGCAGCATGGAAGAAGTGCCCAGGCATAGGGATGGCTCCGGTGAGTTGGTTCCGGAAATCTAAAATCCCCATAGGCAGATAGATTTCTGCCCAATCGAAAAATCAAATCCAACTTTCAAAAACAAAAACCGACTTCAAAATATACTAAAAAATCAAAGTTAAACTTAGATTTTTCAATTTGTGTCAATGTTCTACCTGCTTTTGGGGCTTACCGGCTTACAATATCCCTATATCTCCTCGGTTGAACCAAGGTACTGAGCCGTAATCTGAGATTCGAAGTCTTGCAAGCGGGTGGCCACCTTCACCCAGACAAATGAAGATTTCAGCATATGTGGCTGGTTGGTGGTATACCTACCCCTCTGAAAAATATGAGTTCGTCAGTTGGGATGATGACATTCCCAATATATGGAAAAATAAAAAATGTATAAATGTTCCAAACCACCAATATATGGCCATCTTTTCCCCAAGTTTCTGATTTTCTATGGCTCTCCTGGCAGATTCTGGGGGGTCTTTTGTTTTTTTTCATACTATGTCCCAAATTGACTGAATCTCTTGAGATTTCTCTGAAATGTTTTTAAGGAACCCATTTGCATCTGACTTTGCAACATGTTTGCCCCCCAACAAAGGTTGTGTGAAACGATCTTCACCGATCGTCCCATTGAAAATGATAAGCCCATGATAATCCCATGGCTATGCCCATCAATCTATGATAGCCAACCGTTGTATACCCATCAGAAAAACAATTGCATATCTAAAAAACATGGCTAATATGTGTTCCCATTGCTATGTAAACATGTTAAATGGCCATTGTACATGTTCGTTACCCATTAAAATCCCATTAAAATAGATGTTCTCATTGCAGCAATCCTTATATCCATCAGAATAAAGCATCATAACTGGCGGCGTTCTATCATTATAACAATACCTATGACACATTAATATTATAGGCGTATATCATATCTTAATGATTGGATATAATGGGATATCACAGGCGCCCCAACAAATTACATATCAATATTGGTACATTCCATATCTCATATAAAGCTAATGTAATGATATGCATTTAATTAATGGCATGTTCTCATTCATGGGATTATTTTAAAAACACCCTTATCATCAATTCATTTCTATGATATCTACGGGATAGCCCTCAGGACCGGATAGCCCTTAGGGCTGTCACTACCTATCCACTAGCGCTGCCACTCTCAATGATTATCAATTGGATTATGCTAGATATAACCATCGGAATTTATTGATGATCCAATGATTTTATTTGGTATCAATATGCTATCAATGATTTTCATATGATTATAATCTCATTTAAACATGTAATACCCACTAATTAATGAATGTAATCCCATGGTAATCAATGATTATCAAGATATTAGCATCTTAATCATTGCTATCATGCCGGTATTGCATGATATTGATTAATTATTTAGAATGGAAATGATTTAATGATATTAATTGTTATCAAGATAATCCCATGATAATCCCATGGCTATATATCCGGCAATGATCATACGATAATCCCATTATAATCAATGATTATCATTTGTTGGTTTTAATTTCGTACGTATATCATTTGAATCCATTTGACAATTATTGATATTAATGTTTATGGTGTCGACGCTGTTAAGGGGCCGTGTGCTGTCTTCATTCTTCTCTTCTGTGTGCTTGTTGTCTTTGTGTTTGTTGGCTGGGTTTTGGGGGGTGGGGGGGATGTTAACGGTCATTGCGACTGCAACCACGCAGTATGTTCTCTTGCACTACCACACATACGTCATGCCACGTCATGCTACGCTGCTGCACGTTCTCTTGCACTTCCACACATACGTCATGCTACGCTGCTGCACATAGGTTCTAATCACATCTTGTTGAAGATATTAAACATAGGTTCTAATCATATCTTATTGACATGATTGGACATCTCATGATATTAATTCTTATTGAATCTTATGAAGATATTAAATCCCAACCCCCCTGGGTGCCTTCTTCATGATCTGTGTCTCTGCGCCCTTCTTGACCTCGCCGTCGCCGGATCCGAACTTCTCCTCCAGGGAGGTCACGAGGTCGTGGAGCTCCTGTGACAGTGACACGAAACCATGGCTTTTACCATAGGAAACATTGGGGAAACCATATACCTTATATAGTTATAGTTATATATATATATCTCTATTTATTTATATATTTATATAGCTTTTGTATGTTTTTATAAGTGTTTATATGTTTTTATATGCTTTTATATCTGGTTTTTAGCAACACATATCAGGCTGTTCGATATTTTTCTGGCCCATTTTCCATGGAAGTTGAGCTCGCTGACATGAGTTACCCAGCGGGTAACTGATGGGATGTGTGTCACATCTATGGCTGGTTGGTGGTTTCAACCTAACATTATATGGATAATAATGGTTAATATATGGATATTATATGGCATATGGTTAATGAAGGCTAATAATAATCTGGTTGGTGGTTTCAACCTACCTACCCCTCTGAAAAATGATGGACTGAAAGTCAGTTGGGATGATTTTTCCATTCCCAATATATGGAAAGGTATAAAAAAATGATAAAAATGTTCCAAACCATCAACCAGATGGGGATTACTAGGACTGAAGCAAAAGGAGTTGATGGGACTTGGGTGATGTCCGATGGGACTTGGAACACTTGGGACACTTGGGACATGGGACTCTGCATGGACCTTTTTGGAGTCCGCAAATCTCCCATCAATTTGGCAACTCTTCCCAAATGCCGGGAAAAAGCAGGAAACAACCATAAACAACCCGTTGAAATCCAGATTCTCGGCATGTTTAACGGATGTTGGCACCATGATGTTGGCATCACAGGCCAGATTTGGCGAATGTTTGGCGTTAATGGATGCACTCCATGTCTGTCAGGCTCCGCCAACCGCACCTTCTTGTTGCTTTCCAGCTTCTTCTCCATCTCCTGCGCCGGAAAAAGGAGCATGGGAAAGACATGGAATGGAGGTTCCCTTTGAATATGATTTCTATACTTATTCTTATACCCAAAATTAAAGGATCCAATACTAAACCATACTTGTCTATGGGATTCTATGGTAGGTTCTGAGGGTATTTGCCGGCATTTCATATTAGCAGGAAGGGATTACTAGACCCGACTCTGCCCCAGCTGCTTCCTCGCGCTCACTCTTGTGAGTTGTTTCGATCGCAGACAAGCGCTGATGAACCTCCTGGCAAGGGCGTCAACAAGGTCAGGCCAGGCCATAGTCAAAATAGTTACCCTCTGGTAAACGAACATAGCCATTGAAAATTGATATTTATAGTTGATTTTCCGATTAAAAATTGTGATTTTCCATAGTTATGTTAGTTTACCAGAGGGTACCATTTTTTCCCAAGGGTTTTTTTGGCGGAAAAAATGCCGAACCTGAGCTGGTCTTATTTGTTGTTTTTGGTGTTCGAAAGCGTTCCAAAGTGGGAGTAGAAAGGATCTGACAGCATCCACTAGCATCACTGACCCCATATCCTCACATTCCCCTTGCACACAGGAAACCTGGACTTTTTGGTGTCACAGCAAGCGAAAAAGTCAACCGATTGCCTCCAAAGGTCCTAAAGAAGGTTTCTCCTCAGCTTCAGTTCTCTTGGATTTCTTCCTTCTGGGCTTGTCAGATGCGGACAAATGTCCAATCTCCACTCCCCGGGACGTCAGAAAGTCATGAACCAGCAGCAACACTTGGCTTTTCAAAGCGGCAAAGGAGCGTCGGCTCAAACTGCCACGGGCAAAGGCATAGATTTTCAGTTTCAAGCCCAGGTCACAATAGCCATCAAACATGCATAGAGGCCGAAAGAGTTTGATTCGACCACCGCGCAAGCGTATTAAACGTTCAACATCGTCCTGTTGCAGTAAACCTTCAAATGATTCCAACCTTTCTTGAATTTCTTGGATCAGCTGGGGCAAATCCGGGACGCTTGAGGGAATTAGGTGTACTGATTCCTCGATGGGCCGAAAATCCCTCATGGACTTGTTCACCACAATGTCATCCAACAAAGTCTGATTTGGAACGTGCACCAGCACACCTTCCCTGCTATTCACGTGGGTGTTGATGATCCCCACCTCCTCAAAGTCTCACTGCTTGCACCAGCTAATATTTTTTAATAGGTTCAGGTTCTTTTTTTTTTGCTTTAACATGTTTTAAGAGAAAACTTGGATATAATTTAAACCAATACACGTGAATTCATGAATGTCCTCACAACAGCGATCTTATGCCTTATGCGATCTTATGTGATCTTTCAATCTTCTTAACACACCTCTTTGCTCACATTTCCACCCACTTAAACTTCGAAAAAAAAATCGACCTTTGTTTTCTATGTTGTGCTCCTCCACCACTCCAATGAGATTTTTCTTGGCATCCTGAATCTCATCCCCTTCCACAAAGGGCCGATTCAGTTGAATCAAAAAGGACGCGATGAGGTTCCCCACCACATTCCGCGCGGCCAGACCCACAGCCAAGCCCCCCACACCACCGAAGGCGAAGATCAAACGAGGACGTAAACCGAAGAGAAAGGCCCAGGGCCAGACGAAAAATGCCATGACCTACGGATAGGTGGATTGTGGGGGAAAACTTCTTGGGGTTAATATTCTTGGGGTTGATCTTTTTTTGGGAAAGGTAGTTGAAACAGGCTTCTTTCTTGTAAGTTGTCCCATTTTAAGAATTCTAAGACCGGGTGACTTTTGTTGATCTTGTCATATGCCATTTCATTATATAAATACACTCTAGAATTGAATCTTTTCAGGGAGATGGATGGAGAGGGCATATTGAAACTCCAGAAGTAGAACCCCATGGCAAAACAGTTCATGCAGCAACTTCCAAGCTGGTGCGGATTGGTGCTTACTGGCTGGGCTTATGTCATTGTATGACTCATAGATGAAATGATTCCTGCCAAACCAAATGCCATCCAGTAAACTGACATACTTTTATAACATAATTAACGATGAAACATGGCCCACTTACACATGATTTACCCAATACGAATTACTTGGCTCACATGATTTGGTTTACTGGAGGGTAAATGGTGTTGCATGGTGTTGCCGTTAACCCTTGTTCCGCAAGGCTTCTGGCATTTGCTTCGGGCAACATGTCATGCTAATATAATGTTGGGTGACTGTCACATTGAAATCATCTAGGGCATACCATCCCAGAAATCATCCAGTGAAAAGTCATGAAAAGTCTTGGATTTGAGGAACCCTCGAAAATTAAAATCCTCAAAAAAGTCAAACGTCATATTCACTAACTAACAGATTTCCACCAAAAAAAACACCTTTCCCCACCCAACTTTCGGAAAAATCTGCAAAAATCCCAAAATCATCAGGTCATCCAAACCCCTGCAGCCCAGCTTCGATCAAGAAATTCACAAAGCGACTGGCCATGGTGACTCTCCGCGCCAGGACTCTCAGCTCGGCGTTGCGTGGATTTTGCATGGCGAAGACGATCTTGGACAAGGCTTGCCTGGGTCGACTGGGTCGCGCCAAGGTCCACTTCTTGGGGATTGCCAAGTAGGAAAGGCCATGAAAGGCCAAAGATGGGAAAAAAACGGAGGATGTATAGGAAAGAGCTACAAAAATTACCAAATAATTGAAATATGAAGGAAATCTGGGCGCGATTACAAACAGAAACACTCAAAAGTCGATAAAACTACGGCCAAACAAAAACAACTGCAAGAGAATGGCAGTATATTACTGATCTATACTATAGGTATAGGTATGACACGGTATGACAATGCCTTGGGGATACTTGGTGCACATTCCCCGTCCAAACCATCCCTCCGATGGAGGACACTGCCAATCTAACCATACCTTGCCACTACAAAAAATAGGAAGCGATCCCACAATTCCATTTATTCGAAGAACACATATGGAAAAATCTCACGTTTTCACTGAAGCCAGCCAGTTACAGTGGTCTCGCCCTTTCCTTCACTTCACTCCAAGAGATGCTGTCCGCTGGAGGTTTCAGAAAACTCAGCAGTTTGAAGCCCACGATGGATGTCATCAAGGCTTGCCAAATGCGGTTGCTCAATTTAAACACCTGGTGCTTCAGCAATCCCACGATGGATTGCTAAGATGGAGACCACCCGGAAAACCCAGCCCCAACAAAAACATTGATTTCCAGCCCCAACCACAAGGCATCCAACTGCCAACAACATCGCCCCATCTTTTTCAAAGGAAAACCAACCAGAACACCAAAACCATATCCATAACCATATACCATAAACATGCCCCTGGAGATGGCATATACCATAAACAGCATCACCAAACATAGCCTACAACATCCTATAACATACATGCCAATCAGCTTGCAGCCGTAGGAACATATCCATAGACCTCGTTTGCTGTAATCACTCCATCACCATTGAGATCCAGTAGCTTGAAGTATGGATCCTGACAGCGGTACCCACACGAAGCATCACGAAGCCCCGAGGTCTCGAACATCGAAAATCTCTCCGGATCTCTCCGGAGAATTTCGAAGCCGAGTGGTTCTTAGTAGGGTCGTCATCGTCGTCATCATCATCATCATCACCATCATCATCATCATCATCATCCTCATCATCCTCATCCTCAGAATGATCCGTATCATCACCATCATATCTATACTAACCCCCATAAACCCATCATCACCACATGGGCAGTGTTAAAACCCTGTGCCGTCCCTAACTTTACTGGTTGGCTGAGAAGGGAATTCCAGGGGATTCCCCTGTATGATGGAGTCGACATATTGAGCATGATGTAATCCCAAAACTCATCATCGACCAAATGGGGTCCAAAAGAACCGAAAAATGAACGAATTAAACAAAGTCATCATTATCAATGATTAATCAGGACTTTTCTCCAATGGTTGAACATGAATTGGCGATAAAACATGGATAAAAAAAACACGGCTGAACATCAATATCTCAAAGTATATATCTGTTTGAAAAAAATAGGCTTACCACTTTGATCATTCAAACATATTTCCCACAAAAAAACAGTCAACAAAATCCATTCAACAAAGAGTTTCATCATGTTTCATAGAATTGGATGGGAACATTGAAACCGGAAAGCCCTATATTTCATGGTAAAAACCATGGTTTCCCAATGGTTTCCGGTTAAGATGTTCATCCCCAAGAAACTGAGTTGGTGAGGTCTAGGGACCACCAGTCCGGCAGCACCCGCACTCCGAAGTTCACCGCGGCTAAGGCCAGGGTGGTGCGTGACAGGCCTGTGATCACCTCGTGGGGAATGTATGGGGAGATGATCCATCAATTCATGATGACATGTTATGGAACTAGACTATATATATATATTTATTTATTTTTTTTAAAAAAAAACGTATAGATATATAGATATATAGATATATAGATATATAGATATATAGATATATAGATAGATATAGATATTGAAGTATTAAAACTTAGTTTGGGTAAATGATGAAACTCACTATAAACAGTTATAAAAGATGAGGTTTCTTTTTGCGATTGTGACTTTCCTTGGTACTTAAACATATCCGCAACAACATTCAAGCTGACGATTTTCTCCAAGTCACAGTGATGATAAATCTGGATATTTTCGCTGACAGCCATCCTTGCAGCCCAAAGTTTTCAAAGGTCTCAGCCAAGGACTGACTCAGGGCCCTAGTGCTTCTCTCAAAGTTCATGGTCAACGAAGCCTTCATCAGCCACGTAGCTGCGCCAATGAAGACGACAATGCGGACGAAAATATGGTGGTGGAACATTCGATCCCAACCTGGGAATGTCAAGGGGATCCCACTGGGATCAAAATGTGTAAAAAAAGACTGGTGAATGAAGTGGTGAATGTCAAGCCTGCATGTTTGACAACATTGTTCACATTAAGGGATCAAAACTTGTATTAAACGTTTGGACTGGGGGGGGATAAACATCTCAAAGTCTCATGTTTTTCGATGCGACAATATGTTGATGTGCGCTAGAGTGTGCCAAAGTTTTGACATGTTTTGGCGTCTCAAAGGCCTACATTCGCCCCACTGGAACATGTGACGAGCTCATGTAGTCACTGGACTTAAGACACCGACGTATCGTTACCCGCGGGCCCAAGGTGCGTAATTTTTGAAATATTGCCCATCTACAATGTACAACCATTGATACTCATAATCTCAAACAATCCCATACCCCTAGAAACCCCTAGTATTCCATAGATGTCAATACCACTCTTGTCACATCAGGAAGGTCGCATGAGGTCGCCCCAAGTTCTCCAAACATACCCAGCAACGATTCATGACATCCGTAAATGTGAAAAGCGAATGCACCAGTATGGGCCACAGCAGGAGCGTCATCAAGCCGCGACTTACATGAAGGAAATGACGAAGTTGATCCCATCCTAAAAACAGAAATGGACCCAACATGGTCCACGATGTCCACGAACACAAGGTCTTTTCCAACTTCTTTGGGGAGTTGTTTTTCGCCCAAATCCCTGGGCTTCAAGATGTTTCAATTTTTTTTGGGGGGGGGAGCTAAATATCGAAATCGTTGGATACAGGATACCCCAGAATTTTAGGGGGAAGCAAAAATGTAACTTCTGGGAAACGGGCAAAGAACCGGAAATATGGGCTGATTTCGAGGCTTACAGTATCATTTGCCCCCCTAAATAGTGGGAAAGTAGTTGAAACATGAACATGACCAATCAGAAATCAGCTCTGTTGGAGACGCAGCATGAATCTTCACAACAGTTTGATTGGCTGTCTTTCATAAGGAGCTGGAAAGTCTCAAAAACTCAAAAATCACAGAAACATGTGAACCATGTGTGCCATGTGTGCCATGGTCAAAAAGCTGGGCATATCTAGCCATCCCATGGGACATCCAAAATCCAAACATTCCAAGGTTGTATATAAACATATATCTAAACTAGCTAAGCTTGGCTCCGGGTCCCCACCGGGTTCCCCCACCGGGTTCCCCCACCGGGTTCCCCCACCGGGTTCCCCCACCGGGGTCCCCCACCGGGGTCCCCCACCGGGGTCCCCCACCGGGGTCCCCCACCGGGGTCCCCCACCGGGGTCCCCCACCGGGGTCCCCCACCGGGGTCCCCCACCGGGGTCCCCCACCGGGGTCCCCCACCGGGGTCCCCCACCGGGTCCCCACCGGGTCCCCACCGGGTCCCCACCATTCAAAGGGTTGATGACTTCCCCCGTTTCGGCCCAGTTTCCCACGTTTCCTTCGCCCCCGTCGCCCCGTCGTCGCGGCGGCTTCAAGGCCGCGGGACGCGGGACGCGCGGCGAGGAGAACATGCGCAGGGGCCGCAGGGGTGGAGGCCGGGCCCACAAGGCCAGAGAAGGGCCGGCTAAGGCAGCCATGGAGTCAGATTTTTGGACAATGACCACCCTGTGAGTCATAGAATATGATGGAATAATGATGGAATAATAGAATCACCAGGAACTATGGAAATGTAGCACATGTACAAGGTGTAAATAGCAATTGGAATTCCTCATTCAGTGCAAGGAACGGAAGTAAAATAAACGCTAATAATACCATCATACACCAGTCATAGAACCAGATATAATCAGTAATCAAAGGTGGCCGGAAAAATCGTTGGCAACTTCTTCCCCGGGCCAGCTGAAGCTTCGGAGTAACCAGCAGGTCCGACCAACGAAATGGTGATTCCAGGTATAGTTTCTACATGTTTTTACCAGGGATGGAGAATCAATGTGTCCAAAATGTGAAACCAACCAGGTTAGTTGACGGATGTTAAGGGTTAGTCCTCTTGGCCAAGGCTACTTTACATGTTTTTTGTTGATGTCCTTTTCATTCCTTTACTATGTCACCGCTATGGGCATGCTTCATCAAGAAGCCTGGAGCCATCAAACAGGCGCGCGCAAAGCAAGCAACAAAGCCTGGGTTCCAAACCCAACTCCCCTAGACTTCCCCTGAATTTTGAGCAGAGAAACAACCAAATCCCTAAAATCTGGGCAATTTTTCTATGGATGATGTCTGGAAAAATGGCAGGGGAACCAAAAAATCAAATGGCCCTAAATCCTCCAACACCAGCTACACCAGCTATATGTCCAACTCCTCTGGTGCAGCGGGTGCACCACCACCAGCAGCGCCACCGGACTTCTGTTCCAGGGCGATGATGCGGTCAAGCAGTTCCTGGAAGTTGGTTGAGGATGAACTGGTCAACAAATCCAGAACTTGGCAAACGACTGAGATCTGTAAAGCACAAAATGCTACAAATTGCCAGAAACTTGGGGAAAATGTAGGTCTTAGATTTGGCTTAGAGGCTTAGGGAAAATGCAAGGAACTGACTTTTTGTTTGAGACGACAGATTCTGACCACAATCTGAACATAAAAATCGTTGTCGGGCGTCGCGAATAACCAGCAAAAATCCATTGGCGGTTGATCATCATTTTCCTTACCCTCTGGTAATTTAACAGAGCTATTGAAAATGGCCTATAGTGGATTTACCCATTAAATTGAACATTGTCCAAGTCAACCATCAAAAACACCCCGGGTCTCCTGCTTGTTTCCGTCTGACTTCTTCTCAATGTCGGCGAGTCGTTGTTCCAACTCCTGTCTCCGGGCCAACATCGCTGACATCTGTGAAAACCATCAGCACAGCACGTCAAAAAACAACGGGAGATCATAGGAAAAAAGTCAACGTCTTGCCGGCACTGTATGATTTTCATGTGTCATGCTAAGTAACAACAACTGAGAGTCACTATTCTTCCCTGGGGTACACCAACACGGGAATCCATGAAACATCCTACAGATGTAGATTAAAAAAAGTGGAATGTCCCCGTTCCCAGCTGGTCCGGAATGCCCTCAGCAAGGCGTTTAGCCAGCTCCTCAGCAGGCTGCAGAGAGATCCGGAAGGATAGTTGGATAGGTGGGGTAACCATAGATACTGATACAATCTGATACATAGGAATACCATAGACATGATATCTGATATGACGCATGATATGACGCAATATCATATGACCATGGCACTATGTTTTTTGAGTCATGATTCGTCCGTTAACCGGAGATAGATATAGTGATCATTCAGCAGATTGCCGACGTCTGGAGGGGATGATCCCTGGAAATCCGCTCCTTGATCTGCTCCTCCATGGCTCGGGACGGGTGCAGTGGATACGACGCGATGCGACGCGTTTTGGGCGTTTTCGGCGCCCCTCACTGATCGAACCAAATGTCTGCCGAGCTCAGCATCCAACAAGACGCAATTTGTAGATGTTTTTCATCCGCCACATGACACCCGATATACGTATATTCATCTTATATTCATCTTATATTCTTATATCCTTATGTGAGCTTATATTACTATATATTACTTATATGTACGTATATGTACGTAACTTTAGCACCCCAAATATATCAAAATGCTCTTCAAGACTGTGAATTGCCGCCATTCTCGAATCTCTTTGTATCCAACCGCTGAGAATCCAGGCGATATGTCGGCCTTGGAAATAGGTCGCTGCCTCCTTTGCCATGTTCCAAGTCGACACATCCTGTGGGCGGAAAGGCCATTGGCGGCCTTGGACCATCCAGTTGCTTAGACTGCGTAAGTCGGTCTGCATCCTGAGGGAATCCTGGCACCAGTTGAAAATCCAGGAGTCTCAAAGCCCCAATTCTCATAAACATCATAAACCAGGAATTGGAGAATCAAACTAATCAAACATTCATTTTCTCCATGAAAACATTGGAACGTATTGGAACTCCTGGTTACATTCTTGTCGAATTTTCCATAGATCGCAGGTGGATTTTTTGTTCCAAGAGGCTGGTGGAATTTTCGAAGTGTCGGAAATAAACGCAATGGTTTTGGCCAAAAAGTTGCCGTTTGATTCGACTATATTTCTATTGTTTATGTAGGTTAATTTTCATGTTCTATGGGGGGATTCCCAGCCCTTGGATGGAACACATTTAAACAACAAAGCATCCACAAAAAGTGATACAAAGGGTCTGGGTAGTACTACGTACTAACCCCGTAAAGAGAACATACAGCCATTATTGATCAATCATCTGAATCACATCCCCATAGATTAATATATTTCTAGTGATTTAACAGTACGTTTCTCTATGTTTGACCACTTAAAGCTCTACAGAATCCCGTTCTGAACTCCCTATGCTTTTCGCGCTTCAGATCTATATGTTCAGTGGTTTCCCCACTGGCTTCCAGGATGGCAACCAGACCTGAAACAACCAACGGATCGGTCCATCTTCCCCCAAGTGTAGCTGCACCTCGCCAGGTGCTATGGTCACAACGGCGAGCCGTTGAACTCATGGGTTTTTAGATGTCTTTAGTTGTGTTATGTATTGTTATGTTATGTTGACTTTGCCTGACTTTAGCATCATCTAAAATCATCTGATAGTCACTAGTCTCAATCAATCTAAATCGTATAGATTTCCCCACCAAAAATGCTATTCCACATGAGTTCACTCGAATTTTCCCCAAAAACTGTCCGCCCTTGCAGAACAGACGGCTTCCCTACAATGCTCAGAATCAGACTGCAGCCACGCTTGGCATGACGAAGCTGGCGACGCGGTGTGGCGGATCGTTGTTTGGAGGAGGTACGTCCTGGATTCGTCCCACTGCCGTAGTGAAAGCGTCTGAGCTGGAGATATTCTGGATGAGTACCCTCTGGTAATTTAACGTAGCTATTGAAAATGGCCATTGATAGTTGATTTATGTTGATTTACCCATGAATCATGGTGATTTTCCATGGCTATGTTAGTTGACCAGAGGGCATAGCGGAAAGACTGCAGCAATCTGAAGCCAGAAAATTGCAAGCAACATGGCCATTTCATGACCGCAAAGGCGTTGAACATCATCAGCCATCTGCCACGATGAAACAAGAAGTTGAGAGACCATCTACAGTACACTCTGGTTATTTAACATAGCCATGGAAGCCATGGCCCATAGAAATAGATGGTTTGCCTATTAAAAATGGTGATTTTCCATGGCTATGTTAAATAACCAGTTGGTATACCTGAGCACCTACATGGACTAAACTAACGCTCGGACGCACCCATGTATTGTTATTGTATCTTCAAGGTTGGCTTCGGCAAAGTTGGCGTCTGCGGCAAAGTGGGTGCTCTGAGTCTCATGATGCATTCCCTGAAGGAAATTATAGAAGAAAAAAAAGTACAGGAGCATATCTACATTGTTCCTCTCATTGCTTATCAGCATGCCCACTGCAGCAACTGCATTCCAACTCATGGCTGCTTTACCCGAATTACACCCCCAGATATCATGACATCTTCCAAATGGGTTCGGGTTGCTTACCCTGGTAGCCTTATGTTCGCACCAAACAGAAAAACAAGGTAAAATACGGGTTCATCCCCAAATTCTGATATTATCATGCATTGCTGCGTCATTTTCTTCATCCATCTCCATCTATTTTCCCCTGCCCGCGACCATCTTCGGGAGAAGTTCCGAAGCGCCACGAGTTTTCTCGCTTCAGGCGCTTCAGGATTACCTAGGATCTCGCTGTCTGGTGGGATGATCCAGGATCTCCGGGGTTTTTTCCACAGAAAAAAACTGGTTGCTTATTCAGGGCTTGAAGATCATGAACATTCTCTCTCTCTCTATCTCTATCTCTCTCTCTCTCTCTCTCTCTCTCTCTCCATCGCCTTCTCGAAGAGTTCAGCGTTCAGCTAGTGGCGAGTGAAAAAAACAACCACTGGAATTGGAACTAGTAATTGGTGTTTATTATTACTAATAACCAAAAAGTTGTTCGTAATTGTCTGTAGAAGTATTAATATTAATATTATAATTTGGGGCAGAATAACATGAAATACCTACGGTCAGCGGTATGGTTGTGTCGATGGCATTTACGATGGTCTGAGATGACCAATCTATCGAACTTCTGAGTTCATCAAAAGGTTGCAAAGTCAAGGTAGGTAAGGTTTCACCTTACATTTCTTGTCATCACTCAAGGCCGTCTATAACTCCATCTGATCACCAACCTCTCCCTGGTACTCTGTTTTAGATCCCAGTATAGATAGTATAGCTTGAAGCAGAATAGAAATATGTTTCAATCCCAGTTTTCAGGAAGTCAAACCTGCTTCTAGAATTTCTAGACGTCCTGTGAAGGCCGATGGTCATCGAACATATCGAACCAATCCCCTGGACATGAACACCACACCAAGGGCTGGAAAAAAGGATGTTGGGTTGCTCAAAAAATCGTCGTTTGCCAGTCATGTCTGGCAAACGATCCCCCCCAAAAAAAGAGGCCAAATCGTCGCCAAATCGTAGCATGCTGGACTTTTGGAACACCAACCTCATGGAATCTTGGCAACCAGAAAAAATCACAAAAAAATGCCATCCTTTGTTGCAACATGGGCCGGAAAATCCCGAGTTTTCGATGATTCAAAGCCAACTAAACCATCGTGAACTAAACCTCCATGGGGACACTTTTGGATTTCCCCGCCATTTTTGCTGACCCAGCTAGGTGAATCCCCATGGATTTCCAGTTGACGATTAAACCCCATGATGTCCATGATGAAATCCCTACATTTCATGGGCAAATCCCACAACATCCCCATGATATCCATGATGAAATTCTTGCTAAAAGTTGAGTGTTCACTCAAATCAGAATGACTTATCCCTTGAATTTCTGGCGAAATCTCTATTCATTGGCTAAATTCAATTTCTGGCCATCCATGTATAATCCCTTCCTCCTAATACTAAACGTCCCCCTAATACTAAAAACAGGCATCCATCTCCAATTTCCGAAAATTTCAGTTTGGCCAATTTGACTTGTAATTGATCCCCTTTAAAAAACAATTAAAAATCAACCTACCATTTGTGGGTTCTCCCCCCTAATACTAAAAACTAGTTCACCCTGGGGTGTTTAGTATTAGGGGGGCCTAGTCCCAATCCCTCACTCCAAGCTGCCTGGCTACTCTAGCAATTAGGGGTAAGCTTCGAACTGCCATTTTTGGCAATATTTTAATTGCGTTATATAAGGAAATTTAATTGATTTTGAGATCGGAAAAAATAGTTTTTAGTATTAAGGGTTTTAATTTAGTATTAGGGGTAAACTTCGAACTGCAATTTTTGGCAATATTTTAATTGCGTTATATAAGGAAATTTAATTGATTTTGAGATCGGAAAAAATAGTTTTTAGTATTAAGGGTTTTAATTTAGTATTAGGGGTAAGCTTCGAACTGCCATTTGTGGCAATATTTTCATTGCATTATATAAGGAAATTTAATTGATTTTGAGATCGGAAAAAATAGTTTTTAGTATTAAGGGTTTTAATTTAGTATTAGGGGTAAGCTTCGAACTGCCATTTTTGGCAATATTTTAATTGCGTTATATAAGGAAATTTAATTGATTTTGAGATCGGAAAAAATAGTTTCTATTATTAAGGGTTTTAATTTAGTATTAGGGGTAAGCTTCAAACTGCCATTTTTGGCAATATTTTAATTGCGTTATATAAGGAAATTTAATTGATTTTGAGATCGGAAAAAATGGTTTTTATTATTAAGGGTTTTAATTTAGTATTAGGGGTAAGCTTCGAACTGCCATTTTTGGCAATATTTTGGTTCCCTAATAATAAATACCCCCCTAATACTAAAAACTATTTGCCGTGTTTTGTATTAGGGGGGGGGGGGTTTAGTATTAGGAGGAAGGGATTATCCATGAATTTCTGGTTAAATTCGACTCAAACTAAAATCCCATGTCAATCCATGAATTTCTGGTCAATTTTCCCTAAAAATTCATGAAATTTCATGGTTTCTCCAAGTCGCCATTCGATCCAAGAGTTCCGCATTGCGCGGCTCAGTGGTGGACTGCGACATGTCCAGTAGCTGGGACATGCGAAGGAGCTCTAGCTCGACCTAACGCCAGGGGGCGATGGGTAGGCCAGGTGTTATTTTTTTGGTCAAAAAATAGATGCGAAAAAGGTGTAACCCACCATTAGATGGAAAAAACATGGGTCAAAACACGGGATTTTATGGAAAACGTGGGGGTAGAGACAACCAGCTCATTGAAGAATGAAGATAAGACCGACCTTTTTATGGGTGTCAAATAAAGATAATAGGATATAGAATAATAGGGAATCCCATGGAATATATATATATATATGTGTGTGTACCCAGCGATGGTTTTGGATTTGCTCAAAAAGGTTGTATTTATACCCGGATTTATGGCAGCTTTATTGGATTTGGGGGTAAGCTCCTTCCAAACAAATCCAGTTGGTGGTTCTGAGTCAAATGGGGCCGATCATAGGTCGAATAGGTGAAATGATGAGCCATCTGCGATCCGCGATCCGCTGAAGCCAACTGCAAGGGAACCCACCAAAACAAGCCTGCTGCTACCCTCTGGTAATTTAACATAGCCCATAGCGAACTGGAAAATCACCATTTTGGTAGGTAAATAATCTATAAATGGTCCATTTTCCATAGTTATGTTAGCTTACTGGAGAGTATATCCTGCCATTGGTTTTTCAGGGTTCCCAATTCAGCTTGCTCACGTCCGCACCTGCGACTCCCTTTGCAGATCAGCGGCGTCCTTAGATCACATCTTTCACTCACAGATGCTCCCTGGCAGTGAGACATCGACAGCGCAAGGTCCCCCATTCCAGAAATGTGCCTAGCCTTGCCCCCATTCATTTGTGGACTCTGCATTTGTGGGTGACTTCAAAGTTCTCGAAAAACCCGGCAGGAATCGGCAGGATCACCAATTTTCCAAATCTTCCAAGATCTTCTGCAGCAAGTTTCAATGAATTCTCGCTCCTGCTCAGTGCAGCTGTCTCTCTCCAAAGGCTGGCAGTTGGTAAAGACATGCTCCTGGGCTTGGTGCTGGTTGCCGCAATGACATGCAGCTGGAATGGTATCATCCCCAATGATCAACAGTCCAGCTGCAACCAGTGGCAACCCTCCAGTTGCTGAGTCAAGATGCTACTCGCTTCTCAGTCGGGATGGAAACCACTCTTCCCTGGAAGAAAGGGATTTCTTGGGATGCTGTCTCTAGTCATCAAACTGCAGGTGCTCATGACATCATGACCAACCGCATAGCCTCTGGTAATGCAAGAGGTTGCGAACTGGAAAATGGATGAAAATGGCTCAGTTACTTAAATGATTTTGCCTATTCTGAACTGCGACGTTCCATCGCTATGTTAAATTACGACGGAGCATTGCAGCTTTAAAAAAAAAACGAACTTGCTGGTTCCATCCATTCTTACCTCTATCATATCCTTACACTTTAGGGCTTAGGATGCCCAAAGATTGTCTGCCATGAAAAATGTTATTCCTTGGATTAGTTTAAGGGACAATTGAAACCAGAAACCCCTACATTTGATTGCAAAAACCACGTTTTCCAGTCAAGATTTTCTCTTAAGACAATCCGATCCTGCCATTGTATGTAGCATCAATATGCATCAATCACATTCCAGCAGTTCTATCCCATTTACCCTCTGGTAATTTAACATAGCTATGGAAAATCACCATTTTTAATGGGAAAATCCACTATAAATGGCCATTTTCAATAGCTACGTAACAAATTACCAGAAGGTATTCTTGGAGATCACCGTCTTTTCGCTGTCATACATCCCACTATAGTTTAATGACATTGATTGCCCGATGCTTCCCGTTGTGATAATAATAATATTCACATCTATATGTGTGCACATATTATTACTTACTACCACTTATTGTTTCTACTATTTCTACTCCAAAAATCATAGTTTCTATAATCATGCAATCATAACATTGTATTTCTACTAGAAACAGTAGCAAACAATGTCAAATTTCCGATAGTGTGATCTATGTTATCTCTATGAAATTTCCCTCTGGATATTTCAGATAGCTATAGAAACTGGCCCATAGAAATAGATGATGATCAGCATTGATCAGCCGCCTTCCTTGGAGCTGCACAGGGTCCAATGCCGTCGGTCAAATCCAGCATGTCTTCCAATGGCGCCAAATATCTGGGATCATCTCAGGAACTGGAATCCATCATCTGCAGAGGAAAATCGCCTTTGATCCATATAAATGATTTTCAATGGTTTAAATGGTGGTTACTAGTGATTAATGATGGTTAATGATGGTTCATGATGGTTAATGATGTAATCTGATGATTCAATTTCATAAATGTTGTAAATTGACGATTAAAAGACACACCCGGTATCATCAATGAAATTGATAATCCATATCATCAATAAACATGATATGTTTCCCACGTCTATCCAGGATAACATTGCCATCCATAGTCAAAAAGTCAAAAATGTTGGGGATTATCCAATTTACGACTACATTCAAATTCTGGTAACTTAAATTCAGCGGGTTCACTTGTTTGACTTCATGTTAGAGGCATGCACCTGCATCCCAGTGGTTGCAAGCACCCCATTTGTCATCATTTACATCATCATTTTGGCACCTCTATATTTTTGGGATGATTTCTGGGAAATCAGAACGAAAACATGGTTTTACCCATCAAATATGGGTCCAATGACTGTTGTCTGTAGGAATGGGAAGGGGCCACTGTGGCAAGTGTATATGCATATCTATCTATCTATCTATCTATCTATCTATCTATCTCTATCTCTATCTCTATCTCTAGCTCTATCTCGATCTCTATCTATCTCTATCTATCTCTATCTATTTATCTATCTATCGATCTATCTATCTATCTATCTCTATCTATCTATCTCTATCTATCTATCTCTATCTATCTATCTCTATCTACCTATCTATCTATCTACCTATCTATCTATCTATCTATCTATCTATCTCTCTCTCTCTCACTCAATGTATATATAATTATTATATATATACACACTTAAAAACAAACAAAAGAACAATCAGAGTCACCAGTGACTAGTTGCTAGCTGCTATAGCCACCACCCTGTGGCCTGAAGATGTCCGCCCCGCTGGCAACCTCATAGTGAAGCTTTACCGGTTCCGAATCTACATTCATCACTACTTCCATGGCTGTAGTTGCAGCATGCATGTGAAGTTTGCATGGTAAATCAATGTGAGTCACCAGGGGGGGTTCCGAACACTTAGCACTGACTGTGCACCTTGGCCCTTTTGGCATGGTTTTGCCAAGGGTCTTAGGCCCTGGCTGCATCACTGGGGTATCTCAGAAAGTCCCAAAAGGCTGCTGCATTGTCACCTCAGGTCAGGTTGATCAATCTTCCAATATTCTCAAAATAACCGCGCCGGAAAACCAAGAAGTCAGAAAGACCCTTCATCTTGCTTTCAAGCTCACAAGGGTTTCATCTTACCACCCCAATCAATAGATTCACCCAGTGTTGTGGCAGTGGAATCATTGGGTGAAAAATCTCATCACCCTCATCGAAAAATCAGACCTATCCCTTTAAAAAAAAACGCAATTTCAAGCATCATTTCCGGTTTCTATCGGATTTCACCAATTTGACCATGGATTTTCCCATTTTTCCCATGGCAAAATCCACATTTTACCACATCAAACACCAGAAAATACCAGGAATCGGGGCTCATCCTGAGGTCATTGCCCTCCACTCACGAGCGCACGCGCTTCGGCCTCCGGGCCTCCGCACGCGCTCGTCCCTCGGGGCTCCGCAGGAGCGACCGCTCCACAGCTTGGACCTGGGGGACTAAGAAGATGATCCCCGCGAATGGAACTATATAAATACATATATATATATATATATATATTACTAGTATGATAATAATGATAATAACAATGTATATAATGTATATAATGTATATAATGTATATAATGTATATAATGTATATGTATATGTATATGTGTATATTTATATATTGTAACCCCTTCAAAAATATGTTCGAATGGATTCAACCATAGTGTCATCGTCATGCTGCGGCTATATGAAGCTATGTTGCTGGTCAGTTCTGATCGGGGATCCCTGGGGCCCCTGGGGCACCGAACGAAGGGCTCAAAGTCACGAGCCAATTCGAAGGAATAGAAGTTCCCATCCTCTCCAGGTGCAACTTCTGGGAGAACATGGGAGAACTAGGTGGGCAAAGAAGAGAAAATCACATAGTTTGCCCATAGAAAAACACATTTCAAAATGACATTGGTGGTTTGGTGGTCACAACCGATTTTTCTGGATCTACCATCTGGTTATTTAACATAGCCATGGAAAATCCCCAAAATAAATGGAGGTTTCGTTCGCTGGGAAAATCATCTATTTCTATGGGCCATGGTTTCCACGGCTATGTTAGTCATAACCAGAGGGTACCAGTTTCTGGTTATTTAACATAGCTATTGAAAATGGCCATAGAAATAGTGGATTTTCCCATTAAAAATGGTGATTTTCCATCGTTTTTTGTAGGTTTACCAGAGGGTACCTCCGCAAAAAATGGGGTCCCAAGAACCCATGGGACAACTTTGCCGAGCCACTAGGGCCCTGGGAGCCGCGCAGTTCGCATCACCCTTCACCACCAGCACTGCGTAGGCAGGGACCACGTGGAACAGCGGAGCTAGAGCCCTGAAAATGGCGGCCAGGCTGCCCTCCCAAAGTACATTGGTTTAAGGGAAAAATTACAGGAAAACCCCATATCTAATGGGAAAATCTATGATTTCTTAAGATTTTCCCGTGAAAACCAATCCATTGACATTCACATCTCAGAGTCTTTACTATCAACAGAAATGAATAGTACCCCTCAATGGGTTGCTATACTAACCGTTACAAATCGAAAAGTTTACATCCCACCCATGGACGACAAACAGGCCACCTGATCCCGCCCAGTCTGAGCGCGAAATGCCACCAAACACTATAATATAATGTTCCCACGAAGTCCATGCTCTATGTAATCTGCATATATGTATGTATATATATATATATATCCATATGCGATATACATACATACATAATATATATATATATATACGTATATATATATATACGTATATATATATATATATATATACGTATATATATATATTTTTTATTGCTCTTGGCTCGAGACACTGCAATGTCGCCTGCATGCGTGCTCCACCCAAAAACTCGGTACTGTGACCAAGCAGGTGAAAACTTGTGAGACATGCGAAGAAAATCAAAAAGTGGGCAAGGCTAGAAACCCTACAACTCAACTCCGTTCACTTCAATCAAATGATTGGCTACTAAAAGGAGGAGGATTTACCTAACCACGCCGCAAATGATAATCTGATTGCATCTGTCCTTCCATCCCGTTGTAAGCATCAAACGGTGCTGCTAATTTGTGCAGCACTGAATCCAATCCCTCGGGCAAGGGCTCATCTCCAGAGACTGGTGCTTCAACGTAGTGGTCAAGATATGTCAAGATGTGACTGCGCAATCACCATCGATAGATTTGTAGGGTAAATTTTACCCTTGGCGGTTTTCCATGCTTGACCTTCTTTTCCTCCAAGCACTTCTGTGGCTCGCCACTTTTTGTTGTAAGTGGCAAAAATACGGTGTGCAAAGTTAGCCAAGCGACCCACCATCATTGTAGTCGGCTTTGCAAACTTCTGCCCCAGAGGACCCTGAAGGAAGGTCACGGTCTGAATTTGTGCGTCCAAGAGCAACCACCGCATAAAGGCCGATTGCCAGATACACCATTGTCTGGTGTCTTCTTGATTGCCCTTCGGGTGCTCAAGACTGATCGAACCACCAAAGATAAAAATTGTCACTAACAATCGGAGTGCCATCAGCATCAGGGCTGTTCCAACATTGACTTGTAGGCCTTCGCGCAATGTCAGAAAGTCTCTTCCCCATGGTTGATCTGAATCCCGCAACGGCCGCGGACACACCTCCCCTTCCAGTTGGTTCCAACGCGCACTGGTGTAGGTCTCGCAGGGGGGGCCTGCGTGCCCCCCTACCACTCTTCGTGATTTGATGAGCCTAATCCACAAATCACAATTCATGATGTCACCTGCTTCCTTGTCCACGGCAACATCAATGGCTATTGGCCGCACCCGGCCATCCCACTGGAACCACGAAGCAATGTCACCGCATCTGCGATGGCCGCTGTAAAGGATGAGGAAAAATTTTTCTCCTGTGGCCAGCGGCCTTGGTATCCAGTCAAAGCATGGAGTCCATCGCTTGACATTTTCCAGCATTTGGTGCTCAAGCTTGGAGACATCTCTGGAGACATTTGGCACACTCCATTCTTGTAATCCTCGCGAGGTCTTAGGATGACCCCCTTGACCCGGAGGAAGCGTCCCCAAAGCTGCCCATGTCTGCAGTTCCTCTGTTGTAGGCTCCGCTTTGTGTTCGCCATTCCAACCCGTGGCCTCCAGGACTGGTTTCATCTCATCATCAGTTGCCCAACGCCATTGCTTGTCAATAACCGCCGAATTCAGACCTTTTTGATGGAGAGCCACACCTCTATCCATATCTTCCTGGTCTTGATCCTCAGCTTGCTGACAACTCATTGGCTGAAAAACCCTGATGTGAAAAATCCAACACTTTGTGCCACTCCATTGTAAATGTCGCAACAATCTTCCACGCGAGTGAAAGCATTTTTGGCGCGCACGACAAATACCATCTTTCACAAACCTCCTCATTGCCATTCTATGTCCATGCTTTCGCTGTTGATGCGTGGCTAATGCAGCAAAGTTTGCAAATGTTTGACTGCACTCTTCGCATCTGGCCTGTTGCTCACCCGATAGAGGACTACTCTGGTCGGCTTCATATGTCCAACCCATATCTCTGCAAATTCCCTCTTGGTAAGCTTCAAAATCTTTGAGATCACAATATGTCTGCACCTTCAGTAAATGAGCACGTTCAATCTTTTTGATCTTCTTTCGGATTTCACTCACACTGTCCTGAAAATCTCTCCTGCACTGCCATTCG